TTAACATCTTGGCTAAAAAACACACTTTCAGTGTGAGAAAATATTTCCTGGAACTCATGTTTTGCACTTTTAAAAACATTCAGTGGTAACCCAGTAACACTTCTGACTCAGCAATGTTTCATTTATTATATCATTGGTTTGTATTGAAAGTAATAAGACAAACAAAAAGAAAAATAAAACCGGGCCCCTTTGTCAATTTATTATAAATAGATTTTTTTGTATTTAATGCATTAAACATTGTCATGTTCAAATAAAATGAGTAAAAATAAAATATTAGTATGTGTACAATTTATAATATAAGGTATATTATTTTGCCCCAGAATCAATGTGCTAACCAACCACACCCACATGAAGGCCCAACATTAGGTAGCATTACTGATCCATATATTAAAATGTGTCTAATTAATAGATTTTCAGTATCTCTCTTTAAATTATTTCTAGAGTGTTTTTACTGAGCGAGAGAGCTCTTGTCAAAATGGATGAATGTTGGTTAAAAAAGGGGAGTCTTTTTTTTTTATGTCACTTTTTGTGACTGTCCCCCTTATTGACCCCGTGGTTAAAGGGAAGTTCCAACAATTTTACAAAATTTACAAAAAATCTGCCAAATTTTTCTATGTTATTAAGTTAAGATGTAAACAAAGTTACTCAGACCTTTAAAAAAAAAAAAAATATACCGGCTTCATAATTGTTCACAATGGTGGTGATGGGAACCAGACATCTGATGAGTTTAATGCCTGTAAAAGTTCCCTCACAGAAAGTTGTTAGATGAAATGGTTACAAATACATTGCCTGAGGTCTCAGACTCTGTTTTATGATACTTTTGTTTTTTTTTGCTTACTTATTTTTATTCTTCTAATATCCATTAATTGCAGGGAGATACATGCAGGGTTTTGTATTGCAAAGCAACTTTTTCTGAAAGAAAGCTTTTTTCTGATGTACCACTATTTTACCATTATTAACATCTAAAAACTGCAGACATGTGCAGGTTTACTGGTCATTTTGGTTAGTAAATAAAATGGCTATATTTGTGTTGTGGATGTCACGACCTCTGGTTCCTATCACCACCACTGTAAAGAAATCCAAATCGGTAGGTTTCTCTACAGTGAACCATTATATATTAAACCACACGGAAGGACTTCTAACTGCATCTCGACAGTGCCATATCGCCCACCGCTACATTACAGTAAGGCTTACTTACTGTATTCTCCATACAGAGGCCACTTTTTCCTACTTCTAAATCCGTGGCTCTACCACGGAGCGGCCACAGCTGTCAATGAGCCCAGTGTTTGGCCTCGGAACGGCTCAGTACACCCTGCCTCTCGAAAGCTCGGTTGCTTTTGAGTCCCCATGTAGGCATGCAGAAAACAAAGGGGCTTTTGTTTCCGCGCCCAGTGTCCTGCCATCACTACAGCGGACAACAGAGACACAATCATGATTTCCTTGGCTTCTTTTAAAAACTCTACACAACCCCAGGTTTTTCCTCTTGCTTATTGTTTTAAATGAGGTTCGCTTCAACTCAACTCCCTAATGGAACATTGTGCTAATGCTCAGCCCCTGCGCCAGTCATCTGTAAGAACAGCTGTACTGACTGCATTGTAGAGTTGCAGTGAGATTGTAGGGATGAGTCTTGTGAGGAGGAGGTGGAGGCACTATGCTCTGATGAAGTGGGGGGCCTTGTGCACCGAGACTAATGAGAGAAGCATGTTTGAACCTGAGAAGCTGTAAGAATGTGGTAAATGCTTTGAATGATGTCATATAACTGACGTTTGTTTGCATGTTTTAGGCTTTTGGCGGGGGGGGGGGTGCTGTATGCAGTCCCCAGATGTTAACACTTCCAGAACATGTGCATTATGGAGATTGGAGATATGCTTTGGATGATGTTCAGTACAGCATTGTTGCTGTTTTTTTTTTCTATTAAAATCTCTGACTTTTCCACCATTGACCTCTGAAGTTATGTCATCATTCTGTAGTCAGCATCATTCCCAGGTTAGGAACTCTCTGTTAGGGTCTTTGCTCGTTTTCTCTATGACTAAATAAACAGTGTATTGGAAAATCCTGTGATAAATTAAGATGCTTCAAGGCTGATGCGTTTTGCCATATGGATGTCCTTCTTGTGAATGTTGCCGGATCCTCTAAATTATGTGGAGTCGAAGCTAACAAGCTAACACTGAATTTACATCTTAAGACTGGAAACCTCACCAAAATACCCCATGCAAACCAGCACGCTTTGTAAAATGTGGTAGTTAAGTTATTTTGCCAGGTTTACATTGCAGTTTGAGTAGCTGGTGATGTTAAATAATAACATTGAAGTTTAACAGCAGGCTTCCCTTAATGCGATGGCTTTTTAGTGTTAGTTCGCTTGTAGCATTATTTGAATTTTGATTGCTGAACAGCCTCATACTTTAGGGGATCCTGTGACAATTGGGGTAAAAATTGGTAGACAGGACAAAAATATTTCATCATTTTTGAAAATCCTGTTCATTTTTGTCCTAGAGAAAACCAGGTTAGACTAATACGTGCACTGACCCCGACTACAAAATGACGCAGGACTTCAGTGGTCTATAGTTAGCACCCTCCAAGTAATTAAAAAGCTTTTGCCGCAGCTCTCTGTAGTTGACCTCGCATTGTTGTCTAGTTCAGAGTTTCTCAACCACTGGGCTGTGGACCACAAGTGGGCTGTGAAGCACCCTTTGGTGGCCCTCTGGTCAATACTGGGGGTGTGTAGGGGGCAGCTCGGAGGTCCGTAGTGCTTTGAGGGCACCTGTTCATAAAAAAACAGGGAACAAATAACTGCCTTAACAATAAAAATGACAATATTAAGCAATAAGTTACAATTCCTGAAACAGATACAGCTTTTTTATTTTCATGGATAATGAAGCCACATAATTTAGATAAGATATGCTCAGCCGCCAATTAATACTGCAGTAAAATTACTTATTTTTGGTATGTGCAGAGACTGAGAGACTGACACGTTTTTTTGGCACATTTTTAAAGGAATTACCTTTTTTTATGTGTTTGCCTTCTGATCAAATTTGATTAACCTACCAGTTAAGAATGTAACACAAAGCAAACATTTCTACAATAGTTTTGTTTTCAACCGATTATGATTTGCGAGTGAAAAGACGTGGCAGGAGTGTATTTGATTCAAGGTAAAATGGTTCACACTACAGAAATTTAGTTTTCTTTGCTAACTTCAGAAAATTGCCCAATTGCAAATCAGTAGACTGTTTGCGTCACCTCTACGATAGCGCTGAAAGTAGGCCTGTGCAATGACTCTTAATCGAGTTACCACAGTAAAGCCCCCAGTATGGATTAAAACTCTAGTACTGCCAGTTAAAAATAAAAAAGTTCTTAATTTATTGTGAACTTTTTATTGTAATTTTTAATTTTTTTTTCCCCAAAGCAAGACAACCATATTCCTACACGTAAACATAACTGAGCTTTTAAATATTAGACCATTCTCACATTATAATTATGTGAGATTATATTATAATAGACCATTCTCACATCACGTTTGTTAATGTGGAAACATAAATAGTAGCGTTAAATGGGTCTGGTAATGTTGTTAACAATGGCTGAGACTACTGCCCGGTATCATTGCTGTGTTCCTAAATGCACTAGTAAATTAACCAAACAGGCTTACATAGGTTTTTGCTTGATCAAGTTGAAAACTCTTCAAATACAGTGGAAAAGCTCCATTTGTCATGTCACTTTTCAAAGGGCAACCAATCAAAAAAGAGGGCAAAAAACCAGGTCAAACCAGAGTGCCATTGTGAGCTGCACAGTAGGACAGTTTTGATGAGCTTAGCTTGCTGAGTAGTTTACATTAATGTGGAACAGTTCAGATGCAGTTTTTGCAGAATATGCTCCGTGTTCTGAACACAGCCGTTTTCCACAGAGCATAAAATTCATAGATGTGCTTTCAGACTCGTTATTTCTGGTGCAATGTGCAGCACAGACACAGAAAAACAGAGTATGCTGCAGCAGATTATGCTGTTCCAAAACATACCTGTATGATTTGGTGTACATTTTAGAACATCCTCACACCGCAGTGTCAGGTTTCCGACTTGAAAAACTTTAGGTCTCTGGAGAATCACATGAGTGAAATCATGTCTCAGCTCTCATTCATCAGGCCAAACGGGTTATTTTAAACAGCCTCGGGTGAAATGGCTTCAGAGAAGAAGGCAAATTGTTAAGCTGAGCAGTCACAAGACCTCAGACGGTAAAGTTTGTGTCACATTTGCGATTCTTAGTAGATTAATTAAAGTATTCTTTACGAATTAAAGATGACCGTATACTATAACCACACCTTTTACTGAACTGTGCTTTATGTTCTTTTATTTTAATCACTGTTTGCTCCCGTGTCCAATTCAGTGTAAGGAAGATTACAGGACAAAACATAAAATCAAAGGAAAAAAAATACCCTGCCAACTGTGTTTATTTTCCACAGTTACCCAAATAGGAACACTCTGTTATCTGCAAAAGCCTAGTTGTAAGTAGAACCCAAATCAAAGGTTTAAAACTAGACTTAATATTGCCAATACCCAGTCCGTTCAAATATGCCATGATTGGCTTCAATCCTGATCATTTGGATTGGATAGAGTCATTCCTAAATCGTACCGTGGTTAAACTGAATGGAATATTTATATATTTTCCTAAAGAATCAGTCAAATTGACTTGAGGTCAGATATTTACACCCCTATTTTCAAACATAGTATTGAATGGGTCTGAATTGGGCAGCTAACCTGTGACTTGCCCTCAGTCAGAGGAGTAGTAAGTGTGTGTGATGGTGCATAGTTTTCCACTGCCCTACGATGGCCATTCCAGCCTTTCTAAGTGTGGCATTTGACTTTCTGTCTTGGAATGTGCCACCTTTGGGTGTCGGGACTTATATTAACTTGCTTCCTTCTTTACTGCGGATCTTTTTGTGGACGAGCGAGTGCCTCTGTCGTCTCCAGCTCTGACGCTCTAACACCTCGCTCGTCTCTCTTTTCTTGCAGGGCCACTGTACAGGCAGAGTACCTGGACAGGGGCATTACTAACCCCTAACATTTCACCACGCCTTAGGTAAGTGCTTATTGCTTGATGGTAGGTGGGCGATATGTCAAAACTAATGTTGCAATGCTAAAGTATCATGACATTTAGTTTTTTGGAGATGTTGGCACATGGTACAAGCAAAATGGTATATTTATTCAGTGGAAACAGGAGGGAAAAATCAAACAGAAGGTTTGTAAACAAGTTCAAGGGGAATTCCAGCAGTTTTTCTAATGCGTAGTTGAGCGTTTGAGACGTGTACAAAGTTGTTCCAGTGTGTTTTGTTGTGAAATGGTGCATTGAGAAACTTGCTGACTCTGATACATTTTACTTCACCATTTGAAACCAGCAGTAAACCTACATGTGTCTTCTTTTACATGTAATGTTGATCATGGTAAAATAATGGTTAAACTGAAAAAAGGACCACCTAGCACCCTGCTTGTACCTCTCCGCCATTGAATATCTTTAAAAAAATACGTTTATAGGCCAAAGTGAGAGGAATCCTAGCCATAATAACTTTCTGTGCGGGAGCTTTGAAAGGCTTTCGACACTTCAGACGTCTGGTTCCTATCACCACGCTGTGTTTAATAGTTCTGACAGTACAGGTATCTTTAAAATTGTGCATTTCACATCAAACCACTCTGAATGACTTTGCATCTTAATCAATTAGTTGTGCAGAAACCATGAAAAATCAATGGAAATCCCTGTTAATAATGGACATAATGGGCTAACATCCAATCAGCTACCTCAGTTTTTTGGTTCTCTACAAAGGGTTCTATAAGCTGTACTATGATGAAGCCTTCAACTGACCAGTTTAATTTATCATGATAACAATAACGTTGTCATATCGCCCATCTCTACTTGGTGGACAATGATGTGCAGTGAACTGTAGCTGCGGCATGGCCAGTTGTTTGTGTGTGCTTTTCTTCTTCAGTATCACATCTGGACACTTGTGCTGTGGTTGCTTTTTGCAATCTACTTTTCCTTTCCACGTTAATGTTGTGCTCTGCTGACTGGAGAGGATTACGATCCTGTCAGTAGTGCAGCTGTTGCAGGCTGTTGAAGACATGCTCCTCGTGTTGATAATCTGCAGTCGTTTGAGATTGTTTGCCACGGTCATAAACCATCCTTTCTTTCCTGAGGTTTTTGTACTGTGATTGCTCTTAAATCCCCAAAACCTGAGTATTGTCTTGTGCTACATGGATGATTTCTATACATTTTTTCATATTTTCAGCTTTTTTTCTGAGGTAACTTCAGAGGGAAAACACCTCATGTTCCATGATCAGAGCCAGGCATTTGAAACAATAACTGTTGCAGCTCTCCGCCACCTTGTATACATTAATCAGATTAATGACTGCAAGTTTCCAGCAGGGGCTTGTGCGAGTGTCCTGCCCCTCCCTGCTGTGGCCTCATTCCGCTGAAATGGAGGCTGTTGTTCTGCCGCTTGTTTGGCTGCTACATTGACAGGCCCCAAACCAGAGCTCCTCAGTGTTTGTCCGTCATGGAAATGAATGTGGAGTTGAAGCTGTAGTTTTCCAAGAAATCAGATTCTTCTTACTTTAAATGTAGTTGATCAGTCAAGACGTGTTCGGCGTCTGAAGTCTGCTTCTTTTTTCCACTGGGGCCACAAAGCTAATGTAGCTAACAACCAATGGAGAAAAATAATAGACAAAAGTACAGGCTTCAAAATGGCTGCTGCTTCTGTTTTTAACTAAGCAACATGCTAGTAGACAACAGAGTGTCATGAGTCGTGTTGTAGTCGACATCATGCCCAAGTAAGACACTCTGGGTCAAAGCTATTTTTCTCCGTGAGGTAAAATCAATGACGTTTTCCAAAATCGCCATTGTTTCGCTCTGTGGTAAACAGAAATGTTCAATACTACTTATTCTGTGCAGATTTTCCACTAAGTATCACTAGATTATTTGGATATTGAGGTTGTTAAGGAGTCGAAATATGAGTGTTGCTACATCAGCGCTACAAGGAAGCTAACACTGCTATGTGTTGAAATGGTGTCAAATGAAAGAAGGTATACTATTAAACTTAAATACTATTATATAACAACACCAACTAGTCACATTTCAGGGCACTGCCACCATAACAGCATAACTAGCACAAAGCTTGCTGGTTTGCTTGGGCTATTTTGGTGGGTTTTCCAGTCTTATGATGTCTATTCAGTGCGCAGCAGTGTTAGCTAGCATGTAGCAGTATATGGATTTTGTGTACTTAACAACCTCATAACTCAAAGGATCCAGGTCAACATATATTGGCTTTGAAATGTTTTTTACTACAGAAATTTTCAAAAATGCAATTCATTTTTGTCATAGAGAGTTTCTTATTTGGGCACTGCGCTAACTACAGAATGGCGGCATGACTTGAAAGGTCTATACCAGGGGTCTGAAAGGGATTATCAAACAAATCCACTGAGAACACTAAAACGATGGCTTGTTTTGCCATTACTTAATTTGCAAAAACTTCACCCATGTTCAGCAAGAGTGCAATGCAAATCTGAATATAATATAATTAAGCAAAAATAATATTTTAAACACTACTTATACTTCTACTATTACTACTACAACAAATAATTATTGTGTAGTTAAAATGTGTATGTGGGGAAAAAAATATGGAACCCTTTAAAATATAATATACATACATTTTGGTTTATAAAGTTAGGTGAAATGTTGGATGAATATGTTTGCATAGTTAAAATTCATACTAAAAAAAAACATGGGACCCTTTTTTTCCCTCGTTTTTTCAACCTGCCCCCATTGGAGAAGACCACCTACCTAGTGACCCCCTGGAAATTTGAGTTTGAAACCCTGGTCTGTACAGCGCCAGAAACCACGTAAGCAAGCCATTTGTAATGTAGAAGTCAAAGCAGTTTGAGGCAGGTGTGATGACAGGCAGTGCAGTTTGTACAGTGCTGTTTGGTATTAGCTTCCAGTATTTGTGAGCTACAATATCCTTGTAGTTACAGTGCAAAACTTAGACACCAAGCGTGTTTTGGCTGATTGATTACATTTGGGCTAATTAGACTTTTTTGCCAAACTGTTGTTATAAGATTTAAGGTATATGGCATACTAAGGTTAATGAAGACTGTGTGTATAAGTAAATGAGAGAGAGGGAGAGAGAGAGACAGATAGCCATTCAAACAAGTACCACATGCCACAAGTTGTGTTCTCAAAACCACATCTGACAAGTAGGGTAAATGCCGTAATGGGTTCCGAATGTGCTTCCATTTGCTATCAGGTTTCTGCCAGGCCTCCACTCCACAGCTTTGGGCTGCCAGCACTGGTTTCCACTGCTGCCTTGAAAACTCCTACGTTGTCCTTTAAAATGAGCTCCATGTAGAGAAGCAACCTACAGAAAGCCCTGGCCTTTATCCCACACTATACTGTTTTATATCATCCAACCGTGACGACAACGAATGCTCCACTTCGTAGTGATTTAGCCTGACAGATTTCAGCACTGATTTGGCACAAAGGCCCAAACAGAGTCAATGACCGGTGCAGTGTAAACATCCTCTGGCAGCAGGGATGCGGCCCCTAATTAGCCTCCAGGCACCCCTTCGGTTCCACGTGTGGGGCACATTGTGTGAGCTTTTTTACAGATGGGAGAGTCTTTTCCGTCTTCTTCTATCGGGGGTATATCCAAGTGGTCCCAGTTCACAATAACTAAGCCTGGAACTCACTATAGAATCTCTGATTTACATTGATGAACGATTACAGACACATTAATGTCAGATTGTGGCCAATGCAGCAGACAGAGTTTTGAAGTAAAAGCACTGCAAGTGAATGGCAGTTGAAGCCAAGTAATTTAGCTATGGCTACAGATATACTTCCTGGATGTTTCCCTGAGGCTGATTAAGAATTCTGGACTAAGCATAATGTCTACAGATGGCACCAGGTATCAGTATTAATGAGTGTCGGTATCAGGCCAATATCAACAGACAAATTTGGTTTGGAAATCTGAGAACGAAAAACAGTGAATCTGATCAAATTCTGTAACAAATCTGCCCTGAAATAGCACCACTTACGCTGTGTGATGTTGCTGTGTGTTTCCTCCTGTGGGGTAGTGGAGTGTTTGAGTGATTTGAGCATGATGGCTTACTTTTAGAGGGGCACTTCAGCCAAAATAAAACATTGAACTATCAATACGTCTGTTGTAAACGTCTTGAACAGTGCCGTAGTAGCATTTAGAGAGATGTTCCAGTTGAAAGACTAGGAAAACACTCTTCTGATGATGCATCTTGAAGATAGAAAGAACTTTTGATAATCTACAAGTACTTTGATATGGATATTTGAGGGTGGTCTGGATTTATTTATTTATTTTTTCTGCTGGCTGGTTAATCCAGAAGGACGCCAGATAACATTACTGTTAGGAATGTGTCTCTACATTGGTACAGCTATGCAAGCCATCAGGCTTTCTTTACACAGTAGGGGGGATTCCCAGTGGTTGTGTGATGTATTTGCGTGATGCATGCTGGGTATTGTAGTGAGAAAACATTGACGAAAGGATACAAATCATGAATTCTGTCAAACCAATGAAGCTCAGGGATGCAGTGCTGTTCTGCAGTGAATGCTAGTTTTCTTAGCATTTAAATGCCAGTTTTAGGCCGGAATGTCCATTTAAGTGAAGTGCTTCAATTGAAATTCTCATTTAAAAACTTTTTAAAGAAAAAATGTCAGATGTAGGATTCAGGATCATATCAGTATTGGAAAGGAAAAAGCGGTATCATTCCATCTCTAATCCTGCCACTGGGAATTCTCTGAGGAAGGCTCTGTTTAGTTTAGGATTGGGCCTAATCAGCGTACCCAAAAAACAACCCTAAGGCTTTGTATTGGGGTTTCCTCACCACACAGGCAGCCTGTGCTCTGATTCTGTCTGAAAGCTGCTTGTTTTCTCGATGTTTTGCTGACACAGCCATGTAATTACCGCCCCCATAGACACGCCCCTCCCTGGATATGTTCTTTTTCGTGGGTATCTCAGTGGGAAGGCCTGTCCTTTTTTTTCGCACAGATGTGGTGGACAGACCTGGAAGCAGGGTTGCGAGAAACCACAGTGCCACGTACAATGCGTGGGGCCACCATCTTCCCCTTTTGTGTTTTCTTTGTTATAGCACTAGAATTTCTACGTAACGTGTTCATTGTGTTGCTTTACCAGTTGCCAGTTGCCAGGCCATGCCAAATCCCATGCTCCCTGGAATTAGCCTGGGAAAAGAATCCTCCAGACTCTGTGTCTCTTGCGCTGCTTGTGGACAGTATGTCTCTGTGGTCGGGCACTGAGGTTCTTCATCCCATCTGCACACAGCTGTTCAAACCGGTTGTTAATGGCAAGAGGGCAGTAATGTTGTGACAGAGCCTGCTGTGTTCTTCCTCCAGTTCTACTGGATCTCAGGGGCTTTGGTTATTTCCAAAGTCCAGCATGACACAGCTGTTTCTCTCAGTACTCACAACATGCGAGAGATCCTCCATGGAAGTGGGTGTGACTGGGTTCTTTTGTAAGGCAGTGGCTTTGATAGGGTGTGCAATTTTGATTCAAACAGAATACGGCCTGAAAATATTCCAGCCCAACCTAACAGTTTTGAATGCAAAAAATTCTAACTAAACACAACCTAAACGTGATCATGAACTTCCAGCCAGCTTCTATTGTTACTTAATAATTTAAAATGCATCAGCTGGCAATGTGGTCTTCAACCAAATAAACGCAATTGTTGGACTTTAACAGTGTTGCATGCTGTCTATATAACAGATTATTAGCAGTTTCCAAGCAAATCTCAAGATGCTGTGCCCAGCTCAGTATGCTAAGTTGGATTTGGTTTGTAGTGGAGGGTCTATCAAATCAACCAAAATCTGGCAAAATCAACATTTTAGCAATGTAAAAAAGGGACATAGATTTGTGTATTCAATTTTTCTGTGATAATAACAAATATCAAATAACTCATTATTATGGCAAGACGAACGTTGTTTTCTAAAGATTTCGACGGTTGTGGTAATGATATAAATAATTCAAGATACGGAGAAAACAAATGAAAATAAAAATGTGCGAATTCATGGCCCTTCGGGGCTTCCATACCTTGCGCTATTGTGCAAAAAAAAAAGGACACACAGTGTCACTTATTTGAAGCACTAAAACACCAGACAAACAAATATGTATATTTTCAATACATGTCTGTAGAAATGTGTATAAAACAGTATATTTAATTGCTTAGAGTGTTTCTTACCATGATGCAGATTGGATGTGTCAGTAGCCATTACTGCTTCATACGTAGTCATACATACATCTGTACAGTCTGTGCATTTTCCACAACACTGGCCATGACAACAGTCATTGTGTTTTAAGCAGTTTCATAGGCTAGTAGTTTAGGATAGAGTAGTTTTGTAAATGGCCATTTACCTGGCCAGCTGGTTAAGTTACTTCAGCCCCGCGCAGGGGCTTCTAACACTACAGTCCCGCTAATGTAACTACGCCACTTTGGCACGCAGCATGTAAGGTAATTTGATCTATTCTGTCCCTATACATTGTGATTATTGAGGAAACTCTTATCGCAATAATGATAAAAATAGATTTTATTGTCCAGCCATATTTCCCTGGATTCTTTGGCAGATTAAAAATCTACGTTATAATCTTTCCATGTGGCATTGAAAGATGTTAATTAGTTGGTAATGTTCTGTTTGTGTAGCCTATAATTAAATATAAAGTTTTGTAATTAGCCAACCGTAGATTAGAATGGTTGTATGAACGGCATGGTTACTTAAAGGCGAAGCAATAAATCACAAGATCAAACAAACGATATTAGCACAAATTATTACGATATCCAATAATCTCATTTGTTGGTTTTCAGTCTGGATAAATAGTTTCTCATGCTAGCCTCATGTACCTCAGTGTCAAGTTCTACCAGCAACTCAAGCAAGAATGTAGAAGCCTTGTTAAAATGCGCAGCTCTGTATCTTATTTCTTAACCAGAGGTCTTGTTGTTACCACCAAACAATCTCAGGCCCTGCTTTCCGTTAAGGTCAACCTTAAGATATTTGACTTTTCAATTAGCAGGCATGGCTCAAGTGAGCCTCTCACGCATGTTCCCTTTTCAGCATGTCTGTGGGAAATGCCTCCGTTAGGAGTGGCCTGTCCAGTGCCTACCCCCTGTCCTCTACTGTCGTGTGCAGGAAGTTTAGAGGAAGTAATACGAACTCCTTTTCTCCCCTAGGAAGACGGCCTCACTGTTCCTCCACTGGCACACATTATTAGTAACCTTATCCTCCAGCAAGGACAGGAGGGTATTATCCTCGAAGGTGTGAGAAACAAATAGATGTGGGGTATTATATCGTATTTTAGAACCATTATGGGAGGTTACAGTTACTAATATTCATCAGTCATAACATATTTCTTTCCCATGTCCTTACATGACCAGTTCGGTTTGAGAAATGTAACGGTCTCATTAGTGTATCAACACCTAGCACCTTAGCGAGGGAGCTGAACCTCTTTTCGAGGCTCTCTTTTAGTTCCACCGTGCCCCTCGAGGGTGTAAATTTTCCATTAGCGCTGCTTGTGTTTTGGCCTGGATTGGAAGCAGATGCTCTTAATGAAGCTTTCGCTCTCCTGATTGCTTGCTGTGTCTGTGTAAGGAAGCCAGGCTAAATGACCTTGGCTCCAACAATACAGCTCGGGGCCCTGGCCGTGAGGTACTGTAAATACTGAGCATTACAGGAAAAGTCTGCACAAGGGTCATCGGGTTTAACTCGGCTTCCATTCTCCTTTTTGGACCGAAAGCATAGCTTGTTCAGAAGTCAGTTTATTCAGAAGCAGAGGCTTGAGGTGCTCTTGCCAACAGTTGGTGCTGTAATAAACACAGGTTATTTTCGGAGCATGAGTGAGGCAGCTAACGGGAGTTTCCTTTGGCTTTGTGAGTGATGGAATTGTGTCAGTTGGGCATATGAATGGACGCAAGCGCCTGAATGACCGTGGTGGAGCTCTCCAGGCGACGAGCTGGTAGACAGGCGAGAACATCGTTATCTTTAGCCACCCTGACGCATCCAGGCTGGGGTAGAGCAGACGTTCCTCGCTTTCTCAGATAAACACAGCTCTCTTTGTAGGTGAGGTTTTCCTGTTCTCTGCTTCTTCGTTTCTGTCTTTCTGGGCTGGAGTCTTGTAACAGTCTGCTTGGGCAGATCCTTAGGTTGATCAGGAGCCAGGTAGTGTTATGTCATGAACACAGTGGTCAGATGTTAGTGAAATACATCGAAGTTACAGGAACTGTTAGTGTAGAAGCTGCTTTCTGGTTATTCTAGCGTTTAGTCAGAATTTGCCAGGAAGGCAGGGGCTGGTTGAACTTGTTTTTGTTGCAAGATCAGCTGTTTCAATCTTTGGTGCATCATTATTTTTGTTGTGACACATGCAGTATGTTATTCGTTCCGTTGCTCAGTTTCGAAGAGGTTCATGTTTCATGTTCTTCCACAGTTTGACCGAAAGCCGCCATCATTCCGTGCTGCAAGGGCGACCCCAAAATGTCTTCCAACGGGGATCTGCAAGACGTTGGGAGCTACGGCAGCTTTTGGGAGGTGAGGGGAATCTTTTACCTTTCCAAAATGCGCACATACATGCGCACTTTCACACCTAATTGTTAAAATATACTGTGGTAAAGCCTGTTGTAGGAGTTAACCCAGGATGGAGCACTTACTGGGTTAGATATTCTCTGCAAAAGTTAGAGACCACCACTTGTTCAATTTACCTTTAGGTACATGTGCTTAATTTTAAAGGAGGAGATTAGGTGGGAGAGAGGAGAAAGTCAAGCTCCACTTTTACTTCAGATGTAAAAATCAGCAGCCGTTTCTGTCCATCCTTCCACTGTGAGAAGACAACTCAACACTGAGTCTGAAAAGATGTGTAGCCCTAACTGAGAAAAGAAAAAAGATAAAAAAGAAGAAAATTTGTGAACTAAGGAAGCTACGGAGCCCTGCTGGTGACATCCCATATAAATAAAAATAATGTGTGGCCACGCCTTATTAATGTGTGGAAACGAATTAGTAAGTCTTGGGAATGAGATCATTAAGCCGTGGCCATGGCTGAGTAAGGCATGGTCTCGTTCCCACGCCTAAATAAGTTGTGGTCGCGACTTAATTATCTCATACCTACGCCTTACTAATTCGTGGCCACACATTAGGATCTCATTTCCTCACCTTACTAAGTCGTGGACACGCATTAGGATCTCATTTCCTCACCTTACTAAGTCGTGGACACGCATTAGGATTTCATTCCCATGCATTACTAGGTCATGGCCACGACTTAATTATCTTGTTCCCATGCCTTACTAAGTCGTGGCCATGCATTATTTTTATTTATACAGGATGTCACCAGCGGGGATCTGTAGGAAGCTGCTGATATTCTTAGAACATTGAACTGGTCACCCCAGAGTCCAGACTTTAACATCATTGAATGTGCTTGAGATCATTTGGATCGAGGGAAGCAGAAAATGCAACCAACTTTTTAGACTGAATTCTGGAGGTGTGGAAAAATATCACTGCAGATTTCTTTGAAAAACTGAAAGCAGGTCTCCTGAAAAGAATGGAAGCTGTAATAAAGACAAAGCGTGAACTCAGTAAATCAAATCTGAAAAAAAGTTATATTTAGTTGTTGACGCTTCTGGGTACTTTCCTATTAAATATATGTTTTCAGCTTTTATTCCCGGCACTGAACAATAAGTAACTTGTACTTGATGGCAGTTTTGACTGGAAATTGAAAAAGTGAAGGGACCCCCTCTTACTTTTGCACAGTACTGAATAAACTGCATTACCTTGAATAGGTGTCATTAAGAGTAGTAGTATCAATCAAATCTTATCAATACTCAGTGCTGCTAACTGATCATAGCTCTTTATTGGTTCTTTATTGGGTCCAGGAAACAGGCCTCAGTGTTAGGCCTACAAACATGCATAAATATGTCTCAGTGTAAGTGAGGGAGCGAGAGAGAGGCTCGACAGCATAATTCTCAGACTCCCTGCTGATTCTAAATTTCCATGGCCTCCCTAAGAGGGGATATGCCCCTGGCTAAGACTGCAACAGCGCTGCCCCTCCTCCACCTCTACTGCAGACACATTCAGTCAAGCCTGCACTCACCTGGAAGGGAGCTAACAGACAGTGAGGCTCAACTCTAAAACCCAGTGCTTGTGGAGATGGTGATGAAAAATGACTCTGTGCCTTGCCTGGCTGCTCATTAGAGTGAGAGCTCTTGGTCTGTAGCTGTTTCAGGGTAAAGGGTATAAAGCTGACATACTGCTGTTTATATAAGCCTGCGCTATTTGCCTGGCCTGCCATGCTGAAAATGGTCCAGTACAAATTTAGTTAAAGTTGGCGATGACAGGCTTTGTCAAAATAAGGCGTATGTTTAGAGCACCTGTCCAAATTATCATAGCGCTAAAGACGAACTCATTCATTTCAATGCTTGTAGCGTCCAATATGACTGCTGGGAAAAGCAGTGACTCTGAAGCTATACTTAAACTCTTATGCTAACAATCATTTAAGTAGCCTCCTTTCTCCACTGTCCTTCAGCTCTGGGTTAGCGGCTGCTGCGCGCTAACTAGGGCAGGGCACTGTCTGAGCAGCCATAACGTTAGCTAGGCTAGCACTAATGCTAGTTAAGTTACCAAACAGCGTGGGAGAAATAACAGCCCTGCAAGAAAATCCAACTTGACCAGCTCCAGCTGGTGACCAGCTTGCCAGTTCAAGCTGGGTTTTGAGACATGGTTGACCATTTTGACCATCTACCAGTTGATAAGTTGGCCATCATTCTGGTTGACCAGTCAAACCCAGCTTCGGCTGGTAAGCTTTAATCAGTTTACCAGCTGGAGTTGGTTCTAACTGGTCAACCACCATGATGACCAGCTCATTAGCTGGAGTTGGTTTTAACTGGTCAACCACCACACTGACCAGCTTATCAGCTGTAGTGGTTTTAACTGGTCAACCACCACACTGACCAGCTTAACAGCTGGAGTTGGTTTTAACTGGTCAACCATCATGATGGCCAGCTCATTAGCTGGAGTTGGTTTTAACTGGTCAACCACCATGATGACCAGCTTACCAGCTGGAGTTGGTTTTAACTGGTCAACCACCACAATGACCAGCTTACCAGCTGGAGTTGGTTTTAACTGGTCAACCACCATGATGACTAGCTTACCAGCTGGAGTTGGTTTTAACTGGTCAAGCACCATGATGACCAGCTTATTAGCAGGAGTTGGTTTTAACTGGTCAACCACCACAATGACCAGCTTACCAGCTGGAGTTGGTTTTAACTGGTCAACCACCATGATGACCAGCTTATTAGCAGGAGTTGGTTTTAACTGGTCAACCACTATGATGACCAGCTTACCAGTTACCAGTTGCTGATGATGAAAGTGATAACTTTAATGTTTTTGATGTATTTACCTTCTCAAAATGGTGAAATTTATAGTCAGTATAACTGATTATTGTCTGTATATTGGCTGATCTAAAGGACATATTTGGTTCTTTACTACTAGTGACTGTGTGAGCCACCATGATGTTGATGTGATGTCATACGCTGAGCTGAGAGTTCAGAACACCATTCTCACTTTTTGTACAGGAATTCCCAGCTGAGAGGTCGTTTTCTTGTATTTTTCCTCTAACAAAAGAAAAAGTACCAGATCATGTGTTTGTTCCATGTTTCTGTGATTGGTTTTGCTCTTCAACTCTAACCTGACTGTGTGTGTGTGTGTGTGTGTGTGTGTGTGTGTGTGTGTGTGTGTGTGTGTGTGTGTGTGTGCAGCCGGGGAACTACAAGAGGACAGTGAAGCGCATTGACGACGGCCACAAGCTATGCAATGAGCTGGTCAGCTGCTTCCAGGAGCGCGCCAAGATCGAGAAGGCCTATTCCCAGCAGCTGAATGACTGGGCCAAAAAATGGAGAGGCGTGGTGGAGAAAGGTGACCGGGCTTTTGGAGGCTGACTCAGAGGGCACAGGGGCTCTCTCAGCCGTCTCAAAATAAACTGCCACATCAACTGTTACCCTAACAGATTCCTGACAGCTGACAGGAGGATAGCTCTGTGCTGATAAGCAGACTTAGTTACCCGGCATAGAGATGCATCATGGTGGCTTATTCCAGCAGCTGAACCTTGTTTTTGTAGTGTTTTCATTGTTTTTAAGTGTTTCACATAATCTGTAATGTATTGATTCCTTTAGCATTTTATGAACATATGTGACTTGTTTAGTGCATTAAGCCACTGCTGTGACCTCAGCGGAAGGGAGGAGAGGATATAGGACAGGATTACTGCCCTATGTAGGCCTCAGACTGGGCACATGCTTTAGTCTGACCATGTGGTCACCTTAAAGGGGCAGGCACTTACCAAGTTTCTCTTCAGTCAATGAAATGGGGGTATTTTTTTAGCATAAAACTTGATATGAGTTTTATCAGTTTTCTTATAAAAAAAAAAAAAAAGAACTACAGCTTTGCCTCTTTTCACACAGGCCCGCAGTACGGCACCCTGGAGAAGGCCTGGCACGCATTTATGAACGCGGCAGACAGGCTGAGTGAGATTCACATGGAGCTGAAGGAGAAACTGATCGTGGAGGACAGCGAGAAGATCCGCAACTGGCAGAAGGATGCCTTTCACAAGCAGATGATCGGAGGCTTTAGGGAGACCAAAGACGCAGACGAGGGATTCCGCAAGGCCCAGAAACCCTGGGTCCGAAAACTTAAAGAGGTGAGCTCTATATTGTAGCTCTTTTTAATCACAGCCTTGTTTTAAAATGCCTTAACATGGCTTAACCTCTTGGAGCTGGATTAGTTGTACCTGTAATTTAAATGATTATGGTCTAGATCAATGAATTTAACCCAGTGTCTAGTATAATCTGCACTGTCTGAAGTTTGACAGCAGTAATTCCAGAAAGAATTACTTTCAGTAACTTGTTGAACAGGAAGCACTCTCAGTAATAGTACTCCTGTTTATCTTGACCTGACAGTAATGTATTAATGCAGGGTCCCATGGAGCTACTTGAGAGTGGTAAATAAAAGCTTGTAATATCTGCAGCATATGCTTTTCTACTGTGTTCAAAATAGCCACCTTTTGTCTAAGCATAGCCATAACAAACCCAAAGAATGGAAATTAGAGCAACATGAAATTATAAGTCCACAACTCTATAAATTGATTTATATGTACATACTTTGCATAAATAGTCCACAGAAACTATAGCTGTATTATATTAGGTTGTACCACCATGTTCATAATAAAATTTTACTGCAGAAAATTAATGGTCAAATTTGCCAAATAACAAATTCAGTCCAAGTGGAACATTTGATAATTAAATTCCAAGATGATTCCTAAAGATCAGGTCATTTAAACTAATTTGGAACAGTCCACCAACCAAAACTATCCAGCTGACAGCGTTCCTGTGATCACGACCTGACTGCTGATGCTATGACAACAAAACTGATAAAGTCAAACACACTGAATTGAGTTTTGAGTAATTTGTTTGAGTAAAATAGACATTAAAACATGCCACATTTTGAGTCTGTGCTGTTTTGTGGTGGAAATGGTTTTATTTTTGCTATAGACATCTTAGAAAGGTATTAAAAAGCAGCCCTGTAATAACCTGGTAACAGACAACGTCTCTTTGCGGTGGCTGGAAGACGAGACGTAGCCACTGAAATAGACTTGACACAGTTCTTTTGTACTCAATACAAGCTTACTGTAAGCTATAACCAATGTATTTGTGAGTATCTGCACTCCACAAATTGTTAGTAGCTTTCAAACTCCAAAGGTAACTGAAGCTCTCAACAGTGTGTAGGCCTTATTTTGTCTCCCTCAGTCTCCCGTCTTGGCCTGGCCCCTGTGTTCAATATTTTGGATATTGATAGATTTTTATTTATTTTTTTTTTTTTGCACTTCAATTTGGGTTCATTCCAGATAATTTTATCCTGTACGAATCAGCCAGTCAAATCCCTGCGTGATAAAATAATCCTGCTCGATTAGTGCTTTAGAAGCACTTCTCATTTCAGAAAAGAACACACAGCAATCAGATTCTGGTCCATGTCCGGCAGGTGGAGTCCTCTAAGAAGAGCTACCACCAGGCCCGTAAGGAGGAGCGGACGGCAGTGACCCGTGAGACCCACGCCAAGGCCGACCCCACCAAATCCCAGGAGGAAGTGCGCAAGTTCACAGAGCGAGTGGAGAAATGCAACCAGGAGGCAGAAAAGGTAACATGGAGACAAACTAAATCAGTTCATGCACATAAATTGTTTTAATTATCTTTAGGTCAACAACTCAACTCTTTATACTCAAAAGTAAACCACATGCAAAAATGTGGAATCAAGCAGTGATTTCTTTTAATTTCTTTAAGCTGTTTTACATTTGACATTTGAGTGACAACCAACACCACTCATTTATTTACGTCTGCTTTAACCTGGTCCACCTATAACACTTGTACACTGTTGTACTGAAAACAGCCAGAGTTCATTTTTACATGGCCATTTTCCAACCTCTCTTTATCCGTTTGAATTAAACAGGCTGTTTTTGTTACTGTGCCTTTAAAACTGATGTATGCAACTGAGCTCTGTCCTGATTGGCTGCCCTGTGTTGGGCCTCATTCAGAAAGCAGTCCAGGCTGAAACACTCCTTATAACTTCAGTGTAAGTAGGGGCTAAATCAATGTAGGCAGAGACACGGAAACGATTAGTTTTTTCTTGTCGTCACAAAAAAAAAAAAGAAATTCAGGTGTACCTGATAAAATGTGAACGCCAGTGAGCGTGAGTGGTTCTCGTGATGTTTACCTTTATTTTGTGTACATTTCTGTTACATAATTCAGTCTACTGCTCAGTCTCAAGCACTCCTTTCAGTGCGATGTTATGAATAGGTGTGAATGAAGAGCACTCACTGGCCTGCGAGGGTGTGCCAATTCGCTGGTGTCTGTGTGTCCTTGGGGAGTGCAATGGGTGGAGATGGGAATGCCAGAGTTTCTGTGAACTCGAGACAAGACACGGCTTGTTTGGTGATAATGCAGTAGTGTTGAGGAAGCAGCACTGTTGTTTTTTGCATCTACTTTGTCGGTAATTGCTCTGTACCTTAAGGACACATGTAATAACGTCTCGGTGTTTTTTATTTTGGGAAGACAGACAAGTTGTAGGATGTCTGTACACCCTGTTTTAAGGCCTGGCACAATCTTCAGCTGAGAAAATCACTCCTCCTACTTCTACCTCTTCTCTTTTTTTCCACTCTGTTGTGAGAACAATAAGAAACTACTTTCTTTTTTTACATATTGTTCCATGTAAGTACAAGCTCCCTGCTGCAACGATTGTATAGTTCAAGTGAACATATAGTTTTACCCTGTTATTATGTGGCAGGACTCAAGGAAGTTTTCTTAAAGGCAAAAAAACAGCCTTAACTTAGCCAAGACATTGGAGTAAGCAAAAGCTGAATTTAGTTTTAATGAAAAGACATAAGGCAGCAACACTTTACAGCTTGCCCTCTTTTGTGTTGTATAACATGCAAAAGTCTCTTGGCATCAGATAATTCTGAAGCTGGCCTTACATGGTGAAACTTTTATGCAACTATGCCTGTTGTGAGTTGCCTATAACATAATTTCTGTGCAACTTGATAGTTACATGAAGCTATTCAAAAACTAGTTGCATGCAATATTTAAATATCTACAGAATTGTTTGTCATCTTCATATATTTTTTCAGCTGTCCGTCTTTCTTTGTTCCCCAGTATCTGTTGGTCTTTTATTATTTTTTTTATTATTTTTATATGGCTTTTATCTATCTATGATTCTTTACTATATGTTTGAGGTTTTTTAATCTGTTGTGTGCATGTTAAGCATTTTGAAATTTATGGTTAAGTAGCATTTTCTGTGCTTGCGTGTATGTTTAAGTAGTTTTTTTCTTCTTTCCTTTGGTTCCCAAAGGAATCTGAGCTCTGTGTGAAATAAAGGGGTGTATAGAAAGGAGAAAACTAATCTAGCTACATAGATCAAATGGTGGCCTGAGCAGCCATTTAAACAGCTGTTAGCATTAGCTGGCTAATTAGCACAGCTGGTTACAGAAATGTTAACTTGGAGAAGCTCATGTTTGTTGTCATGTCTCACGAAACTGACAAAATGAAAAACTACAAACATTGGTAGGAATGATTCTGCTAGGTCAGCTGAGGGGGTCTCCTTATCAACTGTCCAATTAACCGTCTTCTGTTTTATATTCTTGCCCACTGATCCCGGAAAATCGGTTACTTTAAAGTATATCGTTTAATGTAATCACTTCGTGTGTTCCTGCTGTTTCATAAATTTTGTTTCAAAATTAATGAAAATTTATCATAAATGACCATCTACACAATACAGGATGCCAAATAGTAATCATCGGTGTCCAAGCCCTAATACATTGCAAATAGAGATCATTGGGGTCCAAGCACTATGTGCCATTATGGAACCTGTAAAAACAAATAAAAGGCTTTGTTTTAAAAGGGCCCCTGTTTATAGTAAAGTGGGGTCTCAAAAGCTGAATTTCGTACACGTTGACCTTTTGACCTTACCACAGATTTTCACAAATAAATCGAATAGTTGTTGAACTCACTGAACTAAATAGTCCCCATAGCAGTTACCCCTGCATTTTAGTTTTGGAGTGCGCTTGACTTTCATAAAAAAAAAAAAAAACATTTTCTCCTAGGAATGATTCTGCCAGTCCATGCTAATGAATTTGTCACTACTCATGAATTTTCATGTCTGACAACAGTAAATTATTTAGGTCAGCATATTGCAGGCTAAATTTTAACCACATTATTGGTTCACCTTATCCTTTTTGATATATTGTAAGGTGTATCATAACGTGTAACAATATGATCATAGTACTAGAAGCTTACTGAACAAAGGATTAGTCACATGCATCACTTAGTTACGTGTTCCTTTGGCTTAATCACAGTGCCAATCCTGTCAGATAAGGGTTTACACCAGTCTTGTGAGGGTGTACCTGTCCATTGTTGTCCACTCTTCCAATGACTGGGTGCCTTTTTCAGCCAGAGTTCACATGTGCCTGTTTTAGCTTTTCACCTGCTGTTCCACACTGATAATTGGGATTGAAGTCTGGTGATTTTGTTGGTCAGTCAAACTACCCCAGTGTTCCATATGTCTGTTAAACTAGTTTCATACAGTTGCCCTGTAGTCATCATCCTGGAATGTAAGAATGTCAACATTATGTTCTGCTCAATAAGTAGAAAGTGGGGAAAAATGGGCTAATATAGAGAGGAACTCTCAAGAAACCGGAATAATCCTTTCCTAACAGGTTTGGTGCTAAGTTTATTTTGGGAGCACAGCCCTGGCATACAGTGTAACATTCAGGACCAACCCCATTACATGCTTATGCACTGAAGTATTATTAAATGTATACTTAAAAGTAGTTGATGCCAGTAAGCAGAACAATGAGATTATTTTTAAATAGTGAATGGAAACTCCCCACAATGCTGCAGTATCCAAGCAGACAAAGCAAATGTGTAGCACTCAGACCAACACTGTGATATTTACTGCCAGGACTGACACACCTATAAAGGAAGAAAACATGAAGTCCAGCCAACACAGTATTTCTCAGTCTAATTCATAATAGACTACAGTGTGTAGTTGTGTTCGTCTCCTCTTTAATACAAATGATTAATCGCTGTTTTCAACTTTAAAGCAAAGGATAGGCTTTTAACTTCATATATTTCATAAACAATGAAATATATTGTTCAACAGTCATGGGGTCTACCTGAAGCCATTAATAAGTAATTGCTTTTTTGTTAGCCAATAATAAGAAGTACAACAAATTTTTATCCCTTCACACCAGACCGTCGGCCATATCCTCCTCATATAAAACTATAAAGGTATAAAATATGAATAATGTAAGTCCCAGCCTCCTCCTAATAGTTTTGAGTTTTTTGTACACTCTTGGGCTGATAATGATAAAAATTTAAATCACACTTGCAAAACAAAGAGGCATACTTAAGTACATCAATCATATACTTAAAGTATATAGAATACTAAAAGTAAAATCTTTATTACATGTGTTTACATGTACTAAATATGCTTTTCTGTATTTTTCAAAAGGTATATTTTTAAAATAGCACATTTTAGATTATGCTTAAATATGCTATAGGAAAATACACACAAAAGTATATTTGTCATCAAAAGTAAATTTTAGTTGCATTTTTGTTGCACTATAACTAAAAAGAACTAGCAGTCAAATATGAGTGTAAGTAGACCCCAATATGAAATTAATATGAAAATAGGTTTCATATGTAGTAGAATTTGTATCTTAACAACTACTTAAGTTCACTTCATTGCAACACAAGTTGTTTCTGTTTAGAGCTTCTAGGTGTAAAGATGTATTTTAACATTACTTAAATAAAATACAAGCATTAAGTTGTGTTTTGTTGTTCCTAATAAAATTTTAGGTGTTTTATTAAAGTGAAATTAAAAGTAAAACTTTTTTTATTTGCTGAATGTATTGTACAGGCTTTCCTAATATACTTGTTGATTCATTTTTCTAAATTCATTATTCCTCTGTGCAGCATTGAGACTGTCCTATTATTGTCCTTATAATACGCCTGGACCATATAATGAACTACAGAGTTCCCTTCTATATGATGATTAGGATCTTTAATCTCTTTTTAAGAAGCAAATTCAGCTGAGCTGAATCCAGATATTCAAAAACGAAGAGAAAACTCAGGCTACAAGCACCAACCCCCAACAGCCAAGTTGGTGTGGGAAACATGCCAAGGTTAGGGCACCCCGAGGCAAGATGAAGATTTCTCACAGATCCACTGTCAAGAGTAAAACATGGGTTGTTTTTTTAATTCGGGAACATTTTCAACTGCTAAAAAAAACACATAAATGTAGATACCTCCAGATACCTCCAGCTTGGAAGACTGCTTAGACACTGGAGGAACAGGGTTTGTTGTACTGCAGCTACATTTTAGACCACCAAGAAGTTCCTATTCGCCACAACTGGTAACACTTAATTCTGGTGAAACCCACAAAACCAAGACTACATTTCTAACTCTTAAGTCATAACCATGTATTCCAGTTACATCAACAGCAAAAGTCTTGTCCACAAGATTGTACTATTTGGTTCAAGATTCAAGGCAACTTTATTGGCCATGTAATAGTTCATTACAGTCTTTATTTGTTTTAGCCTGGCCAGTTAATTTTAGACGACAAATCAATAGTAATACAAGAAGATATAACATGACTAGCAAGAAGATTTTGGTAGCATACAGCTGTGATACATGTAGGGGGGCAGTTTTTCACAGCTGAGCCATGGGCAACCTGCCAGAGGCCCTGCTTTGGTTTTTATCCTACCTCAGGCAACTCAAATGAGCACCATTGTGCTTTTGCCACATGATCCTAAGCTGGTTTGCCTGCTGTTCCTCAGGCAAAGGAGCGATATGAGAAAGCTCTGGAGGAGCTGAACCGCTGCAACCCACGCTACATGGAGGACATGGAGCAGGTGTTTGAGATCACCCAGGAGGCTGAGAAGAAGCGGCTATGTTTCTTCAAAGAGGTGATGCTGGACATCCACCAGCACCTGGACCTGTCCAGCAGTGATGGGTGAGTCTATGTGAATCTTTCAGCAGTCCTCCTGAAGGCTAAAAGTCATTGACCGTCACATGTACAGTTGATTTAGTTGATTTTTTTGTTTTGTTTTGTTTTTTTGACATCATGGAAAATCTCTGAACAGCGTTTGACCTAGCATGTGCTTTTCCCAAATCCTGATTTATTCAGAGGAGTTTTAGAGTCCCTGAGGCTCTTTTAACAATTCCCTGTCATGTACTTATCCAGCAGGAAATTGGTGCAAATATGTCAAAAATGTTAACTATTAATAAGTAGCTACAGTTCTCTTTGACCATGGACTCTGTCAGTTATCACTGTTTACTTAAGAGAGAATGTTCGACTTCTTGTTGTCCATTAACTAGAGCTTTTTGGACAGAGGTTGAGGCAAGGATAAAGTTTGTGCTTGCACTTGTCATTAGTTCATGAACAAATATTTTCTGTCCTTTTGCCTTCGTTTGTACATCCTATGTTGACATATATCTGACTGAAGTTCAAGTAGGAGACAGACACAGCCGAACACCCTGCTGCTGCTGTTGCGAATGACAGAATATTCTTTCCTTTTGTGTTCTCTGTTATTATCTGGCTGCTGTTGAGCTGCTAGTCCTGCTGTGTAATTTGCGTGCAGGAGTCTCCGCTCTGATCTGGTGTGTTTGGTTAAGGTGTGTTTATTCCATCCCACCCAATTTCCAGCCTTTTCTCTGGTACCACTCCTGTTAACCTTTTAAATGCAGGCACTAGTTTCAGGAATGTTTGTTAGAGATTCCGTGGTAATTGTTCTAGGCCTGCTTACGTTGATTGTATTGCCTGAGGAAAAGAAAGCTAAAATGGGCAGACAAGTGTTATAAAATGGCTGTTGAATTTCCCCTCTCAGGTTTAAGGCCTTATACCGTGACCTGAGCCAGAGCATCAATGCAGCCAATGATACCGAGGATCTGCGATGGTGGAGGAATACGCATGGACCTGGCATGAGCATGAACTGGCCACAGTTTGAGGTACACTCTGAACTAGTCTGAGGTGCACTATTAGTTAGCCCCACATTGAGGTACACTATTATTTAGTCTCAGTTTGGTCAGCACTATTAGTTTGCACTAGTTTGACATAAACGATGGACTAGACCCAGTCTAAGGTACATCGTTAGTTAGCTCTGGTCTTTTAGTTACCTCCAGATTGAGGCACACTTTTTTTTAATCCCTGTTTTTGGTGCACTATTAGTTAGACCCAGTTTGAGGTACAGTATGAACTAGACCCAGTTTGAGGTACAGTATGAACTAGCCTTAGTCTGAGGTACAGTATGAACTAGCCTCAGTTTGAGGTACAGTGCAAAATAGCACACCAATTTGAGGTACTGTGTAAACTAGCCTCAGTTTGAGGTACAGTATAAACTAGCCTCAGTTTGAGGTGCGCTATTATTTAGCTGCAATCTGGGGAACAGTACAAACTGTTTAAGTATGAGGTACAATATGAACTAGTGCAGGGGTGCCCAGTCCTGGTCCTGGAGATCTACCACCCTGTATAGTTTAGCTTGTACCCTAATCTAGCACACCTGATTCCGGTAATGAAGGCCTTCATAGGCACCCGAATGCTAGAGCCAGGTGTGTTCCAGGGTGGTAGATCTCCAGGACCAGGATTGAGCACCACCGAAACTACTGCACCAATTTGAAGTACAGTATGAACTAGTCTCATTTTGAGGTACAGTATGAGCTAGCCCAAATTTGGAGGACAGTACAAACTGGCCTCAGCTTGAGGTACAGTATGTGGTACAGGTCAAACTGGGGCTAGTTCCTATTGTACTTTTGCACAGTTAGCCCCAGGTGTAATCTAGCCCCAGTTAGAAGTAAAGCATGAGCTATCCCCAGTTTGAGCTTACAGTATAACTTGCCCCCCTTCCTCTCTATAAAGACTGTTTTATTTATAGTGTTTGCCGACCAGAAATGTCAGTCCCATAGTTTTCCAGCCATGAACAAATGAACTGACATGCTAACATTTGCTTAGCGAAAAGATATGGCATTTCCAGTAGAAGCTCAAACAGTGCAGCTGTATCAGAGTTGTCATTCACCGAGCCGTTTTGAGCACTGAGCTCTGGGCTTGGTGAATTCTAATGGGCCGAGGGTGAATGCGCTGTTGTCTGTGCGTGGCCCACGAGTGGCCTCTGGAATGCCAGATTCTTCTCACTGTGCCAGAACCTTCTCCTCTCTTCCCCTCCCCTCTCTTTCCTCTCCTCTTTTCAGCAGCCCTCAGACCCAGAGGATAAAATTGCCCTCCATCAACACTACAGCCTAACCACGCCACCCACATGGTGGCAGTGTCGAAGTGTTCAGCGTTTGTGTAAATGAATACGGTGTGTGTGTGTGTGTGTGTGTCTGTGTTTGTGCAGCTTGAGTGAGTTCTAAAAATTTCCCCTCAGCCTGAATGCTTAACTGAAGCAGTTGGAAGTGTCCACCTTTAGAGTCACACACTTACCACGAGGCTGTTTTCCCCAGAGCTCTACAGGTAAAGGCGCAGGAATAGCACTCTTTTCCCTGCACACTGGGTCTCTTTATGCCGGCCAAGGCTGTCTTTGGCTCTGTGATGCTGTGGTGGCGCCCTGCCTCCAGATGGTGGCCCAGTGTGTAACAAGCCAGGCAACCAGAGACAGTTTTAGACTACAGCTGCAACCAAGACCAACCAAGCAACTGGGAAATATGCTTGTGAGGAGATGCCCTTTTAGACTGTCTATAGTAGGGATGCATTGATACCGATCCTGGTATCAGGTATCTGTCTGATACCATGCTCATTTACTTGTACTCTTAAAGATACTAACATCCAACACCACCTGATACCATGTGACATAAGCCTGCTGTGCGCTGCTCTTCTAATGAACAAACGACTCGAGCTGGTAGTGATAGAGGGGCTGCTCACACAGCGAAGTGTGGCTGATGCCATGGCAGTCGGATGCAAAGCTGTTGGTCACTTCAAACATTCTGCGTTGGTATATTCCCGCCAGGCATACACTGTGGGATTTTATATGGAAGCCTGTTTCTGTCACTTGAAAAAAAGGCCCTATAGTATGTCATAACAATGACTTAGTGTCACATAATAATAAGCACGTTTCTCATAGTTATGGCCTTATTTTTAAAAATTCTTGCAATTATGAGAGGCTAAGCCTTAATTTTTAGAAAGTAAGTTATTATTATAAGATGCTAAGTCATAGTTAGTCATTAGTGGGCGATGCTGAGTCATAATTGAGATACTATAAATGTAATAAATATAAGATAGTAAGTCATAATTATGAGATTATACACCATAATCATGAAATCTCATTATTATGACAAAATTAGTCTTAATTATAAAATAGTATCTAATTATTATTATTGTTAGATTATTAGTCTCTTATTATTATGGGATAGTAAGTCATAGCTATGAGATATTAACTCACTATTATGAGATAGCAAGTCATAAATATGAGATGCTGTGTCAAGATTATGGTATAAACAGTCATAATTATGGGAAACGTTCTCATTAATATGACCTACTAAATGGCTATATATTTTTCAAGTTTTCAAATATATTTAACAGCTTCCTCACAGAGAAGTATTACATGAAATGGTTACAGATACACAGCCTGATGCCTGAGACATTATTTCACGATAGTTTAGAGATGTGTTTTTTTTTTTTTCAGATTTACCACTGTTTTACTGTAATCAACATTACATATTAAAACAAAAAAGTTTTGGTTCACTGGTTGCTTTGGATAGTACAAAAAAAATCTATATCTGCATTTTAGACATAGTCACTTCTAGTTCACCACTGTTTAAAGAAAAAGGTAAGTTTGTCAAGCCAAGTTTGTTGAATCGCCTTGTTTAACTCAATAATCGAATCATACAGAATTTGTTGTCGGCATATCGAGTTGGAATTCACCGTTTGTTTACGCTTTCTGTGGTCTCCTCTGACTTTGCCGTGTCACGGTGTACAGCGCTTTTTTATACTTGATGATGTTAATGATTACTTAACTTTGTTAATGAATTATTGTAGATTTAACTTTATGCTTTGAATAATAGGAGCCGACGTTTTGGCCAAAAATGGATTGTTAAAATATGTTTTGGGTTTTTTTTTTTTCTTTCTTTTCCCAATTTACCACTATTTTATCGCAATCACTCCTGGTTCCCATCACCTCCAGTGTATAGAAGTTACAGTTTCTCAAGCCACTTTGAATTTGTTTATATCTCAATGACTGAATTGTTGTTGTTGTTGTTGTTATTATTGTTATTATTATTATTATTATTATTATTATTATTATTTATTACTAAATATATTTTTGCAAAATCATTGGAATACCCTATTAATCAAACCTTTATGCATTATGTGGTGTCCTCTCACTAGACCATGTTACAGTGTACAGCGCTTTTTTCTTTACACTTTGACTGATTGTTGGAGGCCAGCGTTGGAGCTTGATTACGATGAATTCTTTCAGTTCTCTTTATTAACTTTATCAGATTGGCCATCCTACCACTGGGACTCCTTGTTGTATTTTTCTGTGAACGTCTGTGCTTTGTCTAATTTTTTGGAGTGAGAGCAAGACTTTGGGCTAACCAGCAAGCTCCAGTTTGTCAGTGTGGGCCACTTTCTTATATCATAAGAAACTGCCATGTAAATATGTAGAAAAAAGGTTGTTTAATCTGCCATTTTATGCATTGATTTGTATTCCTCTTTCGGAGGCTCTGTGGGGATCATTTTATTTTTGTATATCTGTAAATGTCTGTGTTGGCACTAATGGCATCCTTTTGTGTGTGTGTGGTTTATCAGGAATGGTCTCCGGAGGCTACCCGCTCCATCAGCCGCAAAGAGAGGAACAGCCGCGCCGATGACGTGGTCACCCTGACCAACATCGTCTCTGCTGGACAGGAAGCTCCTCAGACCCCACAAGACACCACCCGGTAACCAGGACATACATAATGTGTGCTTTGTTTGCTCTGCCTTGCTACAGCACTTTTCACTGATAAACATTTCTGAGAATGCTTTTCCTGTGTATTTGATGTGTGTTTGAATTCTGGGAGCGCGTGTTCACAGTGCTGCGTGATTATGGAGACGAGGAAATAGGGCTTGTTATTTGAGCTGCTTGTTCTCGTGGGAAAATAGATGCTTGTGACAAATTAATCTCTAAACGCTGTACATGTTCTTCACTGTTTAGGGATAGATGGTGCTGACATATTGTTGTACGGTATTTAAAGTATTTAAGACATAATGTTTTCACTGTAGCATTGTTGGCTGTTGTTTGGTTATTTGTTTTCTTATCTTGGAAACTGGCTCCCTGAGGAGGTGTCTTACTGGAGGGAAGCCAGTTATTACTGTGGTATTGTGGGCTTATTCAGCATAGCCCATGTTTGTGTGTACATATGAGTGCATGTGTAAGTAGCTCTGTATACATAAAGCTGCCACAAAGGGTTCTTTGACTGATGCCATAGAAGAACCACTTTTGGTTCCCTAAAGAAGCAGTGATGCACAGATACGAAAATTTCCATATAACAAAGACAGACAATTATTTAGCAAAAAAACACTCAGATACTGATAGTTTAGTAGTTTTACAATTTATTAAGTTTTTTTATGTTATTTTCCTTCTTTTAACATCGATACTTCTTAAAGTGCACTTCTCTAACTGAGACTGTGTTTCTAAATTATGGAAAATAAACTGACTTCCTGGAATATTCACATTGCTGAAATATGTGCAAATTAAAACTAAAGACCTGTTTGCACTGGATTAGTTTATCAAGGGGAAATCTGAAAAAATATATAAATAAAAAGTACATGTCTCCTGAGTGAAGCTTGCACATCTGGATTGCACTAAAATTACTACAGGAGTTGCGAGTTCTGGGCTATGATTTCTATGAACCAATGAAGATCTATGATGATTCTTTAGATAACAGTGTGATGCAGTAACAGTGTAATAATGTAACAACATAAAGATTCTATATCAATTTAGGGTAAGACACAACAGGTGAATATGATATTTTTTTAAAAACAATAGATGTCACAATAAATCTTTATTAGTTAATGCTATTATTAATAATATTATTACTTGTATTTCTTATTTTAATTAATATTAATTGCAAGTTTTTGTATTGTATTAAAAGTTTTACAACAAATTACATATAGGTATACAAATGATATGTTGATATATGTAGATATACATATGCATACATTTGCATATTTTTAGAAAACATAAGATGCCTTTGGATGATGCTGTGAACGATTTTTACCAAACAAATAATTGTTCACTTAAAAAAACACTGCAATTTTATTGTAAAACATAAAACAGGTCATTTTTGTACAAAATCTAGCTTAAATCATTAGCAGTATATTAAGCAATCCTTCTGTAATATCCTTCAGAATATAGTGAGAAATTAACATGTAAAATGTCATGGAAATTTCTAATTTAATTTTTAAGTTTAATGTTGAGAATTTTAAGTTTTGGGAAAGAAAAAAAAAATAAGATTGGACCCAGGACTGCTTTACCAAGTGAGATCTCAAAAGAAAAGCAGCATTTGTCTGAATGTTGTTATTAGTACAAAAGAAATATACATATTTGAAAATTCTAAGTAGATTCTACGGCAAACATTTCAGGAAAATAACAACATAACATGCAAATCGACAAAACACACTGCAATGCATTTCTGTTGAGCTTTGACATTTTATGCCTGAAAGGTCTTCCCTTTAGGGTTCCTCCTAGAACCTGTGTGGAGGTTCTTTAAACGTTCTTTAGGAAACCAAAAATGGTTCCTCTGTGGCATTAGATAACCATTTTTGGTTTCCTAAAGATGCTAAGCCAGACTGTTCTGAGTATCTTTACAGAAGCAGTTTAGTTATAAATGTCAGTAGAACCACAAGAACAGATCAGTCCCACCGTCTGAGGACCCACACACACACACACACACACACGTGTCCTCAGACGGTATCAGGCGAGCTGGAGTGTGTTATTAAGCACAGCAGCTTCCACTCTCATTAGTCTGGTCTGTATGTGACTCTTTCAAACCCGCAGGTGGCGCGAAGGGGACGGCCATTACGAGAGCCTCACTGACTTATCCCAGAGAACGTTAGTGACCCCGCACTTCCTTTTTGGCCTTCTGTTTATCAGGGGACAGCTGCACAGATGCCTCGCCAAGACCACTTAACAGTTTAGATCCTGGCGCTTTTTAAGAGAAGTTTTAAAGAAGATACATTTGATAATTAGCTTGTTGTGTAAGGCCTTAATTGGAATGAACCGAAAAGGAGCGTCTGCGCTGCTGCTGCCTCCTGGGTGTGTTAGTCTTATTATAACCCAATCATCTGGGACTACAGCCGTGATGGGGAAGGTTGAAGAGAACCACTTTGCTGTGTAATGATGACTGGTGTTTGGAGATGATTCCTGTCCTTCTAAATGCTCATCTGTGGGAACTGATTTCTATTAGTAGCCCTGCTAATTCATCTCTGCATCTGTTAGTTTCTAGTGATTTATCACATTTGACAAACAAAATCAATGTCTTTGTTTTCCTTTACTTCATTTCTACTTTGATTCTTTGTTACTCTCTGTTAACCGTTTTTTATTTTTCATATTTATAAGCAGCAATTACTAGGCAAAGATTACCATGCACGCTTGATCATCTCTGATGCAGAGAATTCTTTATCCACAGCAAATCCTATACTGAGTAGTGATGCACTCAAACGGAAAAATCTTGGCCAAAAATGATTCAGGATGTGTTTGGCCAAAAGCCAAAAATGAAGCATTTTAAAATTTTATGTTTATATGCTTTTTTGTACCGTTGCACCATCAATTATATTTACTTTCCTTGTTATTTAAGGTTTTGAATAAACCTTGATTGAAAAACTAGAACTTTTATTTTTAAAAAGTCCAGCATCACAGGGCACTGGAGTAATGCAACTGTCTAAGTCAAGACTGCCCAGAGTGTGGCCCACTTTTTTGATTTTGCCAGTCAGAAAGTCACCCTAAACCTGCCCCACCTTCCTCACCCAATAAGAGAACGAAGTGTTTTAGCAACAAAATGTAGTGTAATCTGTTAAAAATACATTTTTAAGAAAACTGCCTTTTTTGATTATATAGTCATATCCAAAAGTCTGATCACCCCGGTCACATAACATGTTTTGTAGATTTAAATTTGAGTGAAAATAAGTTGAACCTCTACAGTGAACAAGTGTAAATATGGGCATTTTTCTGCCCATTTTAGTGCACAATTTCTCTTTATTTGCTGCATTTAGTAGAAAAATATACCTAATGTGCCTTTTGTAAAAGGCGTGGCACATTTTTATATTTTGTTTTATTCAAATATGTTAAATTCAACAAATAAACAGTAATTATGCATTTAAATGTGTAGAAGGGTGTTCTTTGTAGATGATGTGTTAACTTATTTTCACTTAGTAATATATTAGTGTATATATATTTCCTTCCTTATTTTCCTTTAAAATGGGTTGTCCTACCTACCTTCTTTGATTATGTTCTTTTAGATCTCAGCCCACCACAAACTCTTTTGACAAAAAGTTTGGGCACCCCTGGTCTAAGTATTGGCCCTATCATTGAAGATTCGATCCCTGGTGATGCCACAGCCATCTATAACTGACAGTCTATGAGAGTCTAACTGGCTGGCTCTCTGTGGGTCAGTAAGATAGCCCTGTTGCTCCCCCCATCACTTAGCACAACGCTAGCCAACACAAGCATGTGTTAGCTGACATAACAGAATGGGCAGTTAGCATTCTCTTAGCACCTTGAGCTGTCCAGTTCCATTGCACTGGTAGCTCAAAAAGATTCGGTGGTACTTTGTGACTCTGAGGAAGAATGTGCTGTCCATCACTGTCTCAGCTCGGTGGCATTGTGTGATGGGGAGATTTATTATAACTGTATTAGGGACAAAATTGGGGGGTGAACACTTAACTACAATTTCTAATAATTGAAATTATTTCTAAATTGCTATGTTTTGAGACTTTCTTGTATGATTATATAAGCTCTAAAAACATGCATCAGCAAAACGTTTGTTTTGACTGAAAAATGAGTCATTTTTGGCCATTTTTGGCAAAAAGTTTTTTTTGGCTAAAGTTTCAGTGCATCTCTCATTCTGAGGGTGATTCAAGACGTGACTGTAATCTGTGCTCTGTTTCTGGCTAACACAGAGGTGCTAAAGACTACTCCTCGGACTGGTCTGATGAGGAGAGCCCCAAGAAGTACATCGCTGCGAACGGCGTGGAGGTGGAGGAGGAGGAAGAGAAGGTAGCGGGTGTGCGCGTTAGAGCACTGTATGATTACACTGGCCAAGAGTCTGATGAGCTGAGCTTTAAAGCAGGTATTAATCCCTACTAATGCTTATTAATGGCACACACACATGTACACATACACCATGTTAGCTCAAAGCAAGCTGTGTTAGAGCACGCTTACAGCTTGTCGAGTGGTGGATTTGTCTAAAGGCTCTGCTTCTGCATTTGTTCTTCTCTCACACCAGAACATGCTTGATCAACAGCTGGCTGCAGCTGTCCTGAATCAGCAGATCATTCTGATAGTCTGAGAAAGGACAGAGCAGAGCTGGACAAATCTGAGCATGAGTGCTTTGGTGTGAACCTGGGTTAGAAAAACACACCTAAGACCTAAAAGGACATTTCATAAGGGTTTTCTATAACGTTATATAATGTAGAGTTCAGGCTACAGTTGGGCTGCACTGTATATCATTTGTCAATTATTATTGCAGTATTATCTTTTGTTGTATTGATATCACAGAAGACTGCAATATGCAAATAAGCCCTCCAAATTATGCACTGAACATCCTCATCAATTAGGCTAGCAGTCAGGACTCCCAGTGGCTATTTACATGTATACACCAATCAGGCATAACATTATGACCACCTCCTTGTTTCTACACTCATTGTCCATTTTATCAGCTCCACTTACTATATAGGTGCACTTTGTAGTTCTACAATTACAGACTGTAGTCCATCTGTTTCTCTGCATACTTTGTTAGCCACCTTTTACCCTGTTCTTCAGTGGTCAGGACCCCCATGGACCCTCACAGAGCAGGTACTATTTGGGTGGTGGATCATTCTCAGCACTGCAGGAACACTGATGTGGTGGTGGTGTGCTGGTTTGTGTTGTGCTGGTACGAGTGGATCAGACACAGCAGTGCTGCTGGAGTTTTTAAACACTGTGTCCACTCACTGTCCACTCTATTAGACACTCCTACCTTGTCAGTCACCTTGTAGATGTAAAGTCAGAGATGATAGCTCATCTGCTGCTGCACAGTTTGTGTTGGTCATCCTCTAGTCCTTCATGAGTGGTCACAGGACACTGTCCAGAGGACGCTGTTGGCTGGATATTTTTGGTTGGTGGACTATTCTCAGTCCAGCAGTGACACTGAGGTGTTTAAAAACTCAAGCAGCACTGCTGTGTCTGATCCACTCATACCAGCACAACACACACTAACACACCACCACCATGTCAGTGTTACTGCAGTGCTGAGAATGATCCACCACCCAAATAGTACCTGCTCTGTGAGGGTTCATGAGGGTCCTGACCACTGAAGAGCAGGGTAAAAGGGGGCTAACAAAGTATGCAGAGAAACAGATGGACTACAGTCTGTAATTGTAGAACTACAAAGTGCACCTGTATAGTAAGCGGAGCTGATAAAATGGACACTGAGCGTAGAAACAAGGTGGTCATAATGTTATGCCTGATCGGTGTATGTAATGCATGCTGGGTATTGTAGTGAGAGAGCATCAATGAAAGAAAATTATATAAAATCATGAATTCTATGAAACTGATGAGGCTGAAGGAAACAGTATTGTGCTACAGAGCACTGCACAACACAGCAAATACCATTTTAAACTCTAGTTTTAGGTGAGAATCTCACTTTAATGATGTCACATCTAAATGTATCGTGCAGCCCTAGGACACGGCACTTCATCCCCAGTTGGATGCGTCCCTGCCTGAACTTCTTTTGAAGATTAGCGAGAAAAACCCTTATGTGTCCTTTTATTGTCTCGCCATGTGTTCATGTTGATGCGCAGAATCATGTTGATCTACAACGTTGCAAATCCACTTTAAAAAAGCATGAATTACTTTTTTCAAAATGGATTGTGAAACAATGTAATTACCTCACTGACTACCAGACAGAGTGGCATGTCACATTCTCACACCCTCTTCATATGATCGTCCATTAGTTGGAGTCTCATATGGAATGCACTGTTATTTAACAAGCAGCTTTCAAAATAAATATGAAAGTTGGGAAAGCATAGCTTTGCAAAGCACTTGAATTCTCTCAAAGAAGGTAAGTAGGACAGGTGTAAGGTTATTATGGCACTACTTTTACCAGAGATGACGTATCCTTCCACATTCATGGGTTTACACTGTCCAGTATACTGATAACCCCATGTTTCGAATGTTATGACATGTAGTTTTATAAAGTGTCTGTACAGCAGACGGTCTTGGGGTACCACACCGACATCTGATAACAAAAAAATTAACGTAGATATTGAATAGACTGGTATCTAAACTAGTCTAATGGCTCCCATGGAAGTCCCAGTTATAGAATAGAATAGAAATAGAATAGACTTAAGAACAATTGATCAACTGTGTTTGCACACAGAGGAATCAGACCTCCACATTTAACCCATCCTTGCAGTAGGATCCCCACATACATGCACACTAGTGAACACACACACTAGGGAGCAGTGAGCACACTTGCCCGGAGCGGAGTGCAGCCCTATCCACGGCACCCAGGGAGCAGTTGGGGTTAGGTGCCGTGCTCTAGGGCACTTCAGTCATGTCCTGTTGGCTCATGAGATCATAGGAAACTTTGCTAGCTTGCAATGCTTCTCAGATAAAAAATATTAAAGCTACACTTTGTAAATTTTGGGGATTTGGAGACCTCTCTGGTGGAAATGTGTAACTGCAGCAACGTGGAACATTTTGTAATGTAGGTTGTGTTTCTGACCCCTTCACCAAGTGGATGAATCTGATGATTGCGAGCGCAGTGAAATTATGAATGAAGTATTCAGAGATAACTTCATGGTGAAGGGCATGTCTTTAGGAGGATGTAAGTTAATTGTCTACTATTGTCATCATATCTTCATCAGTGAAATTTTGATTTAGAATTTGAGACCTAAACATCAAGCCGGACGATCTTTTTTAGCAACATGCTCCACAAAACTCCCAAAATCTGACCCCACACCGATTAAATCACTATTTCATTGCAGTGCATGGACACCATATATTGCATGTTTTTTTTTGTTTTTGTTTTTCTCCTGATCCAGTAATGCTACTTCTTTTTTAACTAAAAAAGTACATAGTGCCACTTTAACCCCTTTCTGCAGGCCTCCTAGTGGCTGTTCCACCAGTGGGATTAAAATCATTGGGTATTTATATTATCAAATAAAACAGTCATCAAAATCTGATTAAAATTCTAATTTAATTCAAAATATTAATATTCAAGGCTGGACCTCCAAAAGAGGCTGAAATTGTGTTTTATGTCTACTGTGAAGAGGGGTTAAATGTTAAAGTGAATGAATTTGAATTTGTGCTCTAAAAGGTCTGCTGGATTCATTTGAACTGTTTAGCAAATGATGAATTCCTGCCTAATGTTTTGAAAACAGCAGTGCCTGCATGAATCCACTGGATATTAAATCACCTCGAATTTGAGGATGGAGCGAGATAACATCTTAACCACATGAACAAAAGGGAGGTTTGCTGTCTTTTGGGCCAAATTTCTCTCGTTATTGTGTGAAAGGCTTTTAGATTGGTCACAATACAAGTGTTCTGTTTCAGCTTCCAGTCTCTTGTGAAGCCCAAATTTCCCCCAGGCAGCAGCTCATGGTGAAGCTACGGTAGTCAGAACAGTGGGAAGCTGAACTGATACTAATGCTAAATGCCTGTCTGTCTGGTCTATTAGCTAGATTAACAGATCTCTACACAGCAGGGGGGCGTGGAGGAAACAGAATGGAATAAGATGCAATCAGGCTATCTTGATAGACTTGAATGCAGATTGAGAAATATAGTCTTTCACTCCATTTTGTTCAGTTTGGATTTGATAAATAATCAATTAATTTGGAGGGTTTGTTGTTTTGTGTCACCAGAGCAGAGCCTGAGGTGAACTGTCTGCTTCACGTCATTTATATTCTACTGTGGATTCAGTCTAATCTTGATCCTCTTTATTCATGTAATGGCAGCGTCATGATTCTCATGACAAGCTCCTGCAGTGCAGTCAGCAAAGATATTATTCTGCTGTTATATCATGTCTGCCACCTAGTGGTGGCTTTGCAAGCTTGCTGTTTTCCCCCACCTAGTATTCAAACATTATTCTCTGAAAAAATCAGTGATCATCACAGATTTAGGCATCGCAAATAGACTTGCTTGTGTGGTTGGTGACACTGTATGACATATTAGGGCTGGACACTATGACTATATATTGTTATGATTAATTATGTCAATACTGTATACTTTACTGAACATATCATGGATATCGGTACTTGTTTCATTATAAAGAGAGCAAAACTAGTCCCGTTTAACTGGATTTAATGCGAAATATTAAATAAATTTTGTGTTCAGTTTTTGATAGTAATTTTTTATGTAGCATTACTGGTTCTTTTTTCTCTGTTTCAACTGATCAGATTCTGATTTCTTGAAATATCGTGATATATTTTTGCCATATCACCCACCTCTACTATTACCAATAACAATAGACAAAAAGGCACTGCATAGCTAAAAAGAAGTAACAGCCATTTGAAAAAAGGACAGTTCATCTGTGGGAGGGGTGGGAGGGGGTGCAGGTCTCTGCCACTTTTTAGAATTATACAAAATATTTTGGGGGGTGGCAGGATGGTTGTTGAAAAAAGTACATAGTTGAGCAGCAAAAGAGCACTTAGATAACAGTTGTTATTTGTATTATATATTTATTTTTATAATTTAAAACACTAATTAAAGCAACAGTAGGTTTTGTTGTTTTGTTTATAGTCACTAATGACAAAAAGAAAGAAGCTCCTGCCCTAAAATCCACTTCTCTGTTGTACTATGATTGTTTGACGTATGGCACAACCCATATTAATTATGATCATATTTATCATTATTGGGGTATTTTGCTAAGGTATTTCTAACGCAGATCAGACTGAGAATTTCAGTGATATTATGGAAAGAAAACATGCTTTTGTAATTGGGGCGATATTGAATTTCTGTCCTGAATGTCTGATATTCCTATTGTTTGTTTTATTGACAAATAAAGCAAAAGATCTTAATATGGTAAGTGTAATGGTAGGGTTACCTTGTTCACCCCCTTTTTACATTTGAGTTGTATGTGTGCTGTAGCCTCCTGACGTCCCTGACCAGTGTCAACTTTGCATCCTTGCTAGCTAAGATTACTTAAAGGGACGCTTGAAAAGAAAAACGTAACCATCTTTACATCTGTGGTAAACTTGCGTCCTACAACGGTTCCACAGACGTCTCTAAATTTCCCGGAAACCCTTCATTCTGATGATGTATTTTGAAGGCAGAAGGAACTACTGCTGCTTTGAGGTGGATTTATGAGGGTGGTCCGTTTGGATTTTTTCCTGTTAGCTGGTGAAAGCTAATGCTACTGCTAGAAAGCTAAATATCTCATTGCAGCTGTAGTTCTGTAGCAGCCATCTTCAGATTATCACAACAATGGACAAAATCGAGTACTAATGACAGAAATGACTCAACAGATGAGCTGAAAGCCACAGTTAGCGGTTAGCGGGTAACTTACCTCAGTTTGGATTCTTTATCTGGCTGAAAGGGTAACAAACCTACAATGTACCCGCCGTCTATTTTGTGCTGAATAAAGATAGAAAGATTGACGACCGAGTGAATACTAGCTTGGTTTATTAGCCTGTAGACCAGTGGCTAGGCTATCAGTCACAATGGGTTGACACCACAGCACTTCCTAAAGGTTTATGATGTATTAGCAAAATGCTAATACATGCTATTGTAGTGAGAGAACAATATAAAATCATTAAGTCTGTCAAAACAATAAGGTAGAGGAATAATAACACTACAAATATTCTACTAAGCACTAGTTTTAGGCTGGAAGAAGCCTTTTTGTTGTGGTTCCAGTCATGTATGTGATGCTTTAGGCTTGCTAATCCTGTATATTACCCGTTAATTGGCCTTGTCGCTCCAGCACAGACCTAATGCTCATGTGATCATGTGTATTTGCTCTGTGGCAGGTGAAGAGCTGATGAAGCTGGGCGAGGAGGACGAGCAGGGCTGGTGCAAGGGGCAGCTGGACAGCGGAGAGGTGGGCCTCTACCCTGCTAACTACGTCCAAGTCATCGCATCCTGATGACCCGCCCCGCCCCGGGCGAGACCCACCAAACTAAACGAAAAACACTGAACTGCGGCAGCAGCGGCCGCAACTCGGCCGTGAAACACGAAGCTACGGAAGAGGCCGACCTGCCGACCATCGCCACATCATAAACAAATAAAGAATCTTTTCTTTATTGACAGGCTAGAGAATTTAGCATCATGCTGCTGTATATTGCCCTGATCCTTCGGCTTTGTCAGAGACGTTACCAGTACAGTGCCTTTGTGGGAAGACGCCAGGGACAGAACTAGCTCACAGCTGCAGTCATCACCAGAAGCACAGTAGAAAACTGACAACGGACTTTTAGATTTCTCTGAAGGGATCTTCACGGAGAGAACATGGGCCTCCATCCTCAGTCATAATCAGTTACTTATGACGCTTCTCTCCTGTACAGTCCTCTTCGTCGTCTTCTTTCATCAGATTTTCAGTTACGCCGCAGATCATTTCAAGTATTTATTTTGACCAGTTTTCTTTGTATTCACGTTTGAGTCTTTCACAGGCGTATGTTGGCGTGTACATATCCCTTTTCTTGACCTTGTTTAGTAGTCGAGGACAATTAGGCCAAACTTGAATGACTTTCTTTGACTGGTGATGCGCGTAGATGCTGGTTGTAGGTCAGAAAAACAATATAATTATAGGATTTTCTGATACAGCTCAGAAAGCATACACAGTTTTCTAATCTTTCATTGAGTGAAGGTTTTGTTTTGTTACGTAATACAGAGTTGTACAATACAAGAAATGTAAGGATCGAAATGGGTAGAGGTTCTTTTTCAATTTCACGTCTTCAGGACTATTTTTTTGGAAAGGGGATTTGAAAAATCGAGTAGTTTTAGTTACATTTTTAAATTTCTTTTCTGGTTTTACTTGGAGAACAGCTTATTTTTTCAGCCAAGCTTAACCGACTAAAGAGAAAAAACTAGTGGCTTATTTGTGGTTATCTGAGCAGGGGATGTCTGTGTGTGTGTGTGTTTATCTGTGTTTGTCTGCCTGCACAAACTGTGTGAGAGTGCGTCAGAAGATTGATTTCATCTCCGTGTAAGAAGAATTATTCTGGACTTCACATCCACGTGCACAGCTCTGAACATGGATTTACCTTAAACTACTGTAACAATCTATACTAATCAATGTAAAAATCCAAATAAACACAAAAGAATCAGTTATCTGGGTTCTTCTCTGCTGTCTGTATGTATGGTTCATTTCTTTCAGCAAGGTTTAGGGCAGGGGTTGCAGCCCAAATGTTAAGAAGAGCCATTTTGTCCTTTCAACAAAAATCAAACCACCTTGGTGGACACAGTATTTATTGTCCATTTGATCATCTTGTGTCAGTATATGCTTACGTACTAGTCTAGACAAAAAATATAAACAAAAATGCAGACTTGCTTTGCTGTGCTTTACGCTTTAGCACAGCTATAGCCGCTTTTCTCGCATCTCCGTCAGGAAACGTTTCCTCAAAAGTGAAATTATTTCTTGCAAAATGTCTCTCAGCATCCAACTTATTACGAGGCTGAAGTCACTTCTCATTCTCCAGCTTCTTGTTTGAATTTTCCTGTTCCACCTTAAATGGTGCCTGAGGCGCCAGAACGTCACTTTTAAGTAAAACGTCACATTTAAGGTGAAACAGGAGAATGAAGAGAAGAGAGATGAAAAGAAGCTGGCGAATGAGAAACTGACAGTTTCTCATTGCAGATTAAATGTATCAGGAAACCAGAGGGAGTGATCATAAATAAAAAATATATATATTATAAATATAAAAAGTAAATCCATTTGTCTCCAAATTATTGATGTTCATCTTAAATCTTTGTCTTTTCATTAGCTGTTCCCTAGTTGGGACTGTTGTTACTATAGTGACCAGCAGTCTGCACGCCTACCTTCCGGGTTAAAGGGTGAATTAGCAGATATAGGCTAAATTAAGACCATTTATTGTTAAAACTGTGTTGAATGATCAGCAGAGCTTTGTTTTACTGTAAAGGAGGATTATTTTATTTTTAACAAAATTTAATTCTCCTGTGGAGCCACAACAGGGCAGTAAAAGAGCCGCAGCCCCCTGAGATGAAACTGTACCTTATTAGCCACTGTTTTTTTCAGAAGCCAAATTTTTACATTTTTAACATTTTTTTGTTTTGTTTTGAAAATTAGTGCACACCTGGGCATTAACTTTGTTTGTTTAGTTATGTTTGTTGTAGAAACAAATTCCAAGCATTTAGGTGTAAGACTTCAGGTCACCGTGTCTTTAAGATAAGAAGGGCTCAACTGGACTGGTAATATAATTATTTTCATTTTTGCTGCCATTCTAGTTGGTTGGCATTATAGTTGGTTAAATTTATAATTTTTTAAGGGAGCTTAGAGGACAAGGTCAGTACTCGTTGCTCCCTAGTGGTACTTTTTATGTATGCAATAAAACCAAACGACTGAAAAATTCATTTTAGTTGTGATGTCAGTCAACCACAAGAAAATCTCAATGTTTTTTTTCTTGAAAGTCTGACCACAACAGTCTTTGTTACTCACTTAATCAGAAACATCCCTTCTAGCTCCACCTTGTGTACAGTTGGAGAGTGGAGCTTTTCTGCTGATGAACATTTTGTGTTGGCCATCCTCTAGCCCTTTATCAGTGGTCAGTTTTTGACCACAGAGCTGGTCTGTAGTAAGAAAATTACCATTTTTTGGATGGCAGACCACTGTCAACCCAGCAGTGACACTGATGTGTGGAAAGACTCCATTAGCACCTCTGTGCTGGTAGACTTGTACCAGCACCGCACACACCACCCTGTTGGTGTCACTGTTGTGCTGGGAATGGTCCACCAGCCAAATAATATCTGGTCAACAGCAGTACTGTGGACAGAAACTGACCCATGGTGAAGGGCAGAATGTAAAGCTTTTTTCCTTTTTATATACATCCAAAGAAACTAAATGATTGCGCACTGCTTTTATCATCATACTCCCCTATAAACATATTTGGAGTTGTACTTCCTCATGAAAAACAACAGAGTTTAAAGGTCAAATTGCGTAGTGGAAAATGCTGCCAGTAACTTTACGCTCACTAAAGCCATATCAGCCGCACGTTACCATGCCTGCTGTCTTCTATGACCCATAGTCATCATTATCATGGTGTGAATTTACAAACTACCAAACAATCCCAGCAATGTCATGTTGTCTGATTTAAGCACGTGATTAACAATTGTTTTTAAAATCAAAATTGATCTTTTTCAGGTCCTCATTTGTTCAGGTTTCTGTTCATATTAAGGACAGTTTATTAGACCAATCATTTACATGGGCAGTTTTTAAAATAGATTGTTTCCATCAAAATGTAATCACTTTTGTCTGCCTCCAAAATGTCTTATGAGTTTTGATTATCTTACCAGTGGGTGTGGAAAAATCACATAAACCAGCAATATCATTTTTGACTTCTTGCTCCTTTTCTGAGATGCCTTATTGAGCAGTGTAATATATCATATATTATAACATACCAAGGGTTTGACAATTTAAAGCTGTATTATGTAAGTTTTGGGGATTTGGAAATTTGTAACTGCATGCAATATTTTGTAACTTCGGACCCCTTATCTGACAGGATGGATCTGCAAGCGTGTTGGAAGAGCATTCAAAGACAACTCAGGATGTGTCTTCTGAGGACATAGGTGATTTTGCATTTGAAAGATGAAAATTGAGACAGATTTTCTTTTTGAGCCTGTGTGTGTGTTGTTAATATGTAGGGATGTCTGATGTGGTCCAAAAAACTCATATAAAATCTGAACCAATGCCTCTGGCCTTTTAAATGAATATTTCAGGCTTCACAGGGTGACTCACAGCAGGGTGCATTCACCATATTTTAGCATGTTTTTTTCTGACTCAGTCATGCTACTTCAATTTTAGCAAAAAAAAAAATGTACAAAGTGCAGATTTAATAAGAACTGAGGATAAAAAAGCTCACAGACTTACACATGCACAATGTGCAATAGTATTACATGCTGCTAAGAGACTCTCCCTAATGGACCTTATCATCATTCTGTAATTGGCAGCATATCTAAATAAAGGTTTAAGCCTTTTTAAATGCGAGGCACCTCATGGACCCGACTCACTCCCTCAGTCACTCACTCGCTCAATCATCCATGTTTAGCAGGTTGGAAATTCTCCACCAGGGGCCCTAAGCACTCAAATAGCTTTTGATGCTTCATAAGAGCATCATTTTCACTGCGTATTCTTATTTCCCTGAAAAAAGAAATGATAAATGTTTTCAAAAATCACCCCAAAAATGTTTCAAAGTTGGTACATTTTGTTATATGTACATTTACCCCCGAATGTCACTGTGTCCTCTGAATTAGGTTAAGTTGATGAAATTGTTGCATGCATGCCAACACTGCTACAGTGTAAAAAATTTCACTGTAAAAACTGTAAAAAAATGTACGGTTCAATACAGTTTTATAAATACAGATTATAACTGTAAGTTAGTATATTTACAGTATAATACTGCTAGAGGTTAACAGTTCATTACCTTTTTTGGATGGGGTGTAATAACTTTCTTGATACAGGAAAAGTTATATAGAAATACTGTACTGTTAAAAAACATTGTTTTTTTTTTACTGCATGTTACTTTTGTCAAAAAGTAACATGAATGAAAGGGTTAATTACTGTAGTGAACAGTTGACGTCGCATATCTTGCAAAATGTGTTACTTTATTGTAAATAAATTTGATGATTCCACATTTGTCATATCAAAAGAAAAGTAAATTTTACAAAGGAAAGCATTTAGGCATGAAAATGAACTTGATAACAATCTTTGTACAACAGTCCACAGCTGTAAAACTCTCTCTTGTCCTACTTTGTCCTTCCTTGTTTCTGTCTGTATCTGCCTTTATCTTCCCGTCTGTGTTTTGTTCCATGTGCTTTTGTTGTTCTGGTTTGTCTCCTCCCCAGTCATCTGTCCCACCTGTGTGTAGTCTGTAGCCCCGCCCTCTCATCAGCCCCAGGTGTGTCTCATGTGTTCTTTTGTCTGTTTATTCCTCTTGGTTTGGTCTGTTTCTTTGCTTGGTGGTGTTTGTAGTATATTTGTAGTGTGTTTTGCTGATTCTTAGTTAAAGTAGTTATTCCTGTGTATTTTGTTCTCTGTTCTTTGATTTTGGTGGTTCTTTTCATTTCTTTAGTGCTGGCCTCATTTTGCTTTTCTTTTGTTTCTGGTTCTTTCCTTGCTATTTTCTCCATGGACAACAATAAAACTGCTAGCTCACACACACATCCTGCCTTCTCATCTCCTTCGGCTTCCAACATGTTACAACAGCTATGACTGTTTCTAGTTTTGTCAACACATAATATGACCACAAATTTCCCTCTTCTAGTTTTACTTATTATTAAAAGTAAACTAAGTCCTATGACTAGTAGACTGACGATTGGAGTGCACTTTGGGAGAGTGATGTCACACGGTTGCACTGGACTCAGTCCTTGCCTTTCTTCATTGATTGAGAAACACCTGGATACAATTAAGAAGGTCGACTGAAAGAGATGTTTAGCTGTTTCTCCTTAAACAGACAAGAACCAAGTGCAAGATCCAGTGCAACCATATGAAATCGCACTGCAACAATGGTGACACTATTAGAGGCATTTTGTCTATATGTTCTAATTTGATTTATACAACATATTTTAATACTACTGTTTCATCAGTCATGGGTCCATGTGAAGTGGGTGTGAATACCTCATCTTTGAATGAATTTCAGTGTGCATGCAGCTTCTCTTTGATACTGACGATTGAAGCTGTATGTGGAAAACACAGAAGCAAGCCTGGTTGCTTTAGCAGTAATAACCTACGGTTTGAGTAGCCGGTGTCGGTATATGGTAGTGTTTAAAAGCAGATTTGATTTAATGCCATGCTAGTTTGCTTGTAGTATATGTAAGTTGTCAATAAGAATATTTCAACTGCTAAAACACATTGTAATTCAGAAGATCCAGGACAAAACATATCTAGTTTGGAGCATTTTTGTTGATGGTGTAAGGTGTGATATGTATTATTATTACTATTACTTTTACAGTTATTACCATATTGTTACACTATAATTACAGTAGCCATATAATAATGTGTTTGGTACCATGTATTCTGCCCGTTCTGTATTTCCCAGGATTGAACACAGAAGCCTGATTTGTAAAACACTTTTATACTGGCCTAAACACAGTACATTATTGTTGAAATTACAGGAATTCTTTACAGTGCAGAGCTCCTTCTATGCCCAGCTTCAGAGTTCTGAATCAGATGCTTCAGAGTTCTGAATCAGATGCTTCAGAGTTCTGAATCACACGCTTCAGAGTTCTGAATCAGATGTTTCAGAGTTCTGAATCACATGCTTCAGAGTTCTGAATCAGATGCTTCAGAGTTCTGAATCACACGCTTCAGAGTTCTGAATCAGATGCGTCAGAGTTCTGAATCACATGCTTCAGAGTTCTGAATCAGATGCTTCAGAGTTCTGAATCACACGCTTCAGAGTTCTGAATCATGGTAAAAATAATTACATTATGATTTCCAATTGATGTCAACTTCTTGCTATTGCATTCACATATGCACATATAGCACTGTTGGAATGTACTCATAGTCCACTGACTCGATTTGAGTGATTAAAAATTAGGTTTCAAAAATCTTTACTGTATTTAAACCACAGCAAAAGATCAACTGCAGCACAACGTGAACTTTAACTTTGGTTCATAAGTGTCTTCTAAATCACACTAAACATTTTAATTGATTTCCTGGATGTGTTTTCTTAAACTAAACCTTGTTTACGTTCAGAACGTGTTTGCTCGGCAGTTTCTCTGTTCTTTTATTGCTCTGTATTGCTGTAGATTAAGATCATAACGTTTTATTGATCTTTGCTCTTTCACCCTAGTAGGTGGATTATGAGTTGTGTAATGCTGCACGTTTTACAGTTCTGCACTGCACATGATCCAAATTACTGCGCATAATTAGGAAGTTTATTTTGTATTACCGTCTATGATTATTACACATCATAAATGTACACCGTTACAGTGAATAGGAGGCATTTAGTATAAATACAGTGCCAACGCTCAGTGTTCTCTATAGACTCACATACCTACTGCAGGTAAGTGCTGCTTCTTCTCTTGACTGATAGAGAGAACGTGGTATAGGTTCTATTTAACACAGTTTAACATCCTGTTCTTTTGTTCTTGTTGTTCTAGCTTTCAGCCAAACGCCCATGATGTCTCTAACCCAGTTTGTCGCTCTCACTCTTCTCATTGGCTCTGTGCTCTGCTATCCTGTCGAGGTGACGATGCTTTTTGATCGCGTTTTTGACATGTCCAAAAGTTTGTGGACACCTGCTCGCCTAATGTGTCTTCTGTAATCAGGGGTATGAATAGGGAGTTTGTCCTTCTGTTGCTGCTGTAACAGCCTTTACTTTTCTGGGAAGGCTTCACACTAGATGTTGGAACATTGCTGTGAGGATTTGATTGCATTAGTGGGGTCAGGTACTCGATGATAATAATGGATGATCAGTTCTGGATCGTTCTAGCTCATCCCAAAGGTAGTAGATGCAGCTCCACTGCTCCACAGCCCAAAGCTACGGGGCTTCGTACCCCTCTAACCGACACTTGACATGCCATGAAGGCCAGAGTGTCCCATTCTACTGTAAATACTTTTCTATAGAGATTATACAAGCTGCATGTGCAACTGAATGCCTGTTTCAGCTAAAGGTGCCCCTTGAATTAGCTGAATTCAAAGAGGTGTCTGGATACTTTTGGACATGTAGTGTACATATACACTGAATAAGTACTGCTTTGAATGTAACTGATTCAACTCATTTCCACATGAATAAAATAGATCAACACAATTTTCATTTGTGTGGAAATGATGTACTTAAATCAAGTTCATTCAGTCCATCACTGTTCTTAGTGTATAGCGCCCTTCATAAATATTGGCACCCCTAGTAAACATAAGCAAAACAGGCTATAAAAGCCATTCTTTATTGTGTATCCTTTTGATCTTTCATTCAAAATATTAACAAAAAAATCAGAGTTTTACTTCAAGTACAATGATTTTAAAAAAAAATCTAAATCTAATTCGGAAATAAATATTTTCCTAAAATCTATTCATTTAATACTTTGTGCAGTCTTCTGCTGTAACACTTAATGAAACCAGAGAACACATGGAAAATCATCTGAGACCATTCCTCCTTATTTTTTACAGCTCATTTTGCTCATGACTACCAGTGGTGCCAATATTTGTGGAGGGCACAAAAGTTTCGAATTTCAAGCTTGCATTCCAATTATTGTTTTTTTTTCTTGTTGTTTTTTTTGAAGGATTTATCTGAAACAGAGCTGTATAGCGCCGAACAATTGATAGGTAAGTTGAGCTCGCCACTAAATCACAGCTACAGGAAACTAGGGATCTCTTATGAAAGCCAGTCCCCATTAAAAAGCAAAACCATGCTTTAATTTTATCTATAATATTTTTGTTTAAAAAACAGTATCATTCAGAAATTGATATTGTCATCATTTTGAATGACATCCAGCCCTAAATATTGCTTTCAAACAGACGCACAGGTGCAGGAGGACTATGAACCTGAGTTTCCTAACCTTGTTGAAGAAGCAGGCTACTCTCAAGGTAAGCTATACTGATTGAGCCCCCCAAAAATGATTAAGGTCTTTTATGGCATCAATGTAAGGACTTATAAATGTGAAATAGACATATTTATAGATTATTTTTTTCTTTAAGGGTTTCTTAGTTTATCCTGTCCCAGTAGAGTATGGTGGAATTTGTGAAAGGTTTTGGTTTGTTTGTTTTTGATCTGTAAAGTCTGTAAATTTTTTGTTGGGCTCTTTTAAAACTCTTTGGTTACTAATATATAATAGTGACAGCTCTAGAATAATAAACTACATTGAATTACATTCAAATAGAAGTGACTGAGGAAGACATACCCGATTTCTCAGACATCACAGAGGCTGAAGACGCTGATTTGGGTGAGAGATCTTCTTGTTTTGAGTCTATTGCACTTTTGCACTTATGAGTATTAGGTACTAAGAGAATTTGTGATATTTGCCGTCACGGCAAAGAACAAAGGGTTTAATGTATTGTTCATGTTGCAATTCTAGAACATCCACTTATTACATATGGGGATGTTGCTGTGAAGCCTAGATCCCGAAATGCTGCTCCATGCACACTTAGGGGATGCAAATGGCCAAAGCATGCTAACGGATTTGTATACGTGCCGGTGGTGATTTCATCCCGTTACAGTAAGTAAAACTTGTAATATTCCAACAAAACCTTGATGATTCATGGTCTAGAAAGATCTAGAAAACTACAGAGATATATTTACTCACTGTCCACTTTATTAGAAACACTTGGTACTTCAACTCACAGCCACTTCATGAGCTACCTTATAAGTTCACTATATAGATATCCAATTACAGACTGTAGCCCATCCGTTATGCACAGTTTATCAGCTGCTCTCTACCCTGCTCATCATTGGTCAGTTTCTGACCACAGGGCTATTACTTTTCAGCAGTGGCACTGACCTGATAGTGGCATAGTAATTTGGTGCTGATATGAGCGCATCAAGTTTTGCATGTCAGTTGTTAGGTTGAGAGTGGTCCTCCACCCAAAAATATCCAACCAAGTGCAACTCTATGGCCAGAAACTGGCCACTGATGAAGGGCTAGAACAGGGGCGACAACCCAAATGTTAAGAAGAGCTATTTTGTGCTTCCAATAAAAATCAAACCACCTTGGGAGCCACAACATTTTATGTCCATTTTACCATCTTGGCTGTAAATATGTCTCAGTATGTCCTAATGTGCTAGTAAAGGCTAAAAAAATAATATAAATAAAAATGCAAACTTTGCTTTAAGCTTTGGCTCAGCTATAGCTGCTTTTCTCGCATCTCTGGCAGGAAACTTTCCCTCAAAAGTAGGATTTTTTTTTTTTGTACAATGTCTCTCAACGTTCTACTTTTTACGAGGCTGAAGTCGCTTCTTAGTCCCAAGCGTCTTATTCAAATTTATTCTAACTGTTCCACCTTAAATGGTGCCTGAGGCACCAGAGTGTAACCGCTGCACCATTTAAGGTGGAATAGGAAAATTCGAACAAGAAGCTGGCGAACGAGAAGCTTCAGCTTCACAACTTTTTAGTGTTTGACAGCTTTTTGCAGCAGATTAAACATATAAGGAAACCAGCTGGAGTGATTATAAAAGTCCATTTGTCTCCAAATGATCAATGTTCATCTTAAATCTTTTTCTTTGCCATTTCGTTAGCTACTGGCTAGGTGAGATTGTTGTCTGCGTTGCTATAGTGACCATCAGTACCACGCCAACCTTCTGGGTTAAAGGGTGAATTAGCATTTATACATTCATTCTAGCATTTAAGACCATTTATTGTTAGAACTGTGTTGAACGATCAGCAGAGCTTTATTTTACAAAGGAGGATTATTTTATTTTTAACCAAAAATCTGATTCTGCTGCGGAGCCACAACAGGGCTGTAAAAGAGCTGCATGTTGCCGACCCCTTGGCTAGAATATGGCTAATACAAGTAGTGCATCAACAGATGGGCTACAGTCTCTAACTGTACCTACACCTGCAACAAAGTGGTTTCCAATAAAGTGGCCAGGGCACTCAGACATTCTAAACATACATTTGTGAATGACGTCTTGTGATCAGTATGAGATTGTGAGGTATCATGACAATTAAAATGAACTTTCTAATCTCATGCAGATCAAACTGAGAGAAATATCATCATAAAAGGCCTCACAAGCCTACACAACACTACCTGCATCCGGTTCGTGTGGTGGAATGGACATAGGGATTACTTATATATCTATCCAGGTCAAGGGTACGTAGAACATTTCCAAAATGCTAATGATGCACACAAACGACATCATGCTAACTGGTGGCTACTAGCTGCCATTCATTGTTAGCCACATAATTTGATCAAACCTATTCCTTAATGAAACCCACATCATGAAAACTTAATTTCCCTTGCTTTTAATACATCATAGTGGTCAAAACAGACCATTCACTTTACAATTTATGAAGGTCATGTAGGTAAAATAAGCTTCAGAAACAACATGTAGCATTAAAAGTCTTGCCAAAGGACATGTTTTAGTGTAAGTTGGTGTGCTCATGCTGCCAGTTGTAGGCAGTGGTGCTACCCACAATGCTATACCAACTGAATTCATTGCATTTATACATTAACCTATGCAACCAACATCAATCTAGCCACTCCAGTTCACACTCAAGTTACGAGGAGTGTTTCAGCTGGAACTGCTTTTTAACCAAGGCACAATACAGGTTGGCCAATCAAAACTGAGGTCATTTGCATATATAATTTCTAAAAGGCACAGTAACAAAAATAGCCTGTTCATTTCTAAGAGATCAAGAAAGGTTGGAAGGTTGTCATGTTAAAATAAAAAATGACATTTTTAGCACAAATAACACACAAATGCTGTAACTGGACTTCAAATATTAAAAATAAAAGAAAAAATGAAAGATATGGGCCCTTTTATTAAGCTTTGCTAAGATATGTACCCTGCTCAGATTTGTACTTGTAAAAAAAGACTTCTCTGTGACTGTATTTGTGTATTGGTGCAGGTGCTGGTCATTTGTGGGCCGTCAGGGAGGACAGCAGGCCCTGTCCCTCCAGAGGCCTGGCTGTGTCTATCATCACGTAGTGCAGCATGAGATGCTCCATGCTCTGGGCTTCCACCATGAGCAGGTCCGCAGTGACCGCAACAACCATGTCATTATCCTGGAGGAAAACATCATCCCAGGTGAGCGGTGTGGACGCTGAGGTGAAGTGATGTGTGTTGCAGAGTAGGATATGGTCAAGAACGAGACACAACCAAACACCCCACCACCACACTCATGCTTGCATACATGGAAATATACATGAATGGATTGGTTCATATTGTTTATTCATTAATTAACAATTTGATTAAAGCTACAACATAAAAGCATAGCAACGACAGCGTGGTGGCCTAGAGCAGGGTGGCCCAGAGGAAGTTGCCTGAAAGCCCCCCTGCCCCCTCACCCAGTGAAAGTCTGATGTTTTTATACATCTTTTGTTTTTTACATTATCTTTAGTAGCAAAATATATAAATATAACATACACTCACTGAGCACTTTATTAGGTACACCTACCTTGTACCTACATTTATTGTCCATTTTATCAGCTCAAATTACCATATAGGAGGCGAATATGCCTGCTTACAGATGTACAGATGGTTTCATTTCTTATTTTGGCCGCTGTGCCCCTTTAAGGTAACAAGTAATTTCATTTTTATTTTCTGCTGCAACCTCCTTTCCAGGCAAAGAACGTAACTTCAGACAGATTGCAACCAACAATCTTTGGACTCCTTATGACTACAGATCTGTGATGCATTATGGGAGGTGAGTTTATGAACACATTGTAAATGTAAGGCAGTAAAATATGAGTTTACACTGTTGAGTGATATTTTACTTCTGTCCCTTTTCATACAGCACATGTCTATGACCATTCATTGCTAGATTGCTAGAAACAGTAGTTAGAAAGTCTGCTCAGTCAGCAGCTGCATGGACAGCTCCTTTTCTTTTTAAAAGATTAAGGTGGATTTGGGTGGAAATTCACAGAAGCTCTTAGAGAGAACGTCAGCCAGGAGTACATATTACTTATGAAATAGTAGACCTGCAGATATCTGCCTCAGAGCCTAGCAGGTCGGCCTAGAAAAGGCATTTTCACTGACTGACTGACTGACGAACTTTGTTGAAACACACATGCACGACAAGTGTAGCCAGCTCACAGTTGGCCTGCCAACTGCCATTCATCCAACAGAAGGAGAAAAAGATAATGAAAAAGAAAAATGGGGAGAGTTGCCCCATTAGTTGCTATTTAACTGAACTTTTAACGGATGGTGATTAACACTGCATTCCCTGTTTAAACCGTCACTTAAGTAGCTATTTCTTTCCAGCCAGTGGCCAGCTAACAGTGTTTTACTTTCACTTTCTCACACTGGGTTCAGCTTATGAGATGGCGAGATGCCTTTTAAATGGTACAGATCGGTACAGATTTGTTTGAGGTTTAGAAAGTAACGTCGTTGTAAAGTAATGAGAACTGTGAGATCACTTTTCCCTGGAAGTAGCAAGTAAAGTGACCCCATTACAGTAATTTGTAATGGAATATTTTTGAATAACTACCCCAGCACTGGTCAATGATGGGTCAGCTTCTTATTTTGGAGCATAACCATAGTTTTGTATTATTGGAGTAGATCATGTGTTTAGCTAAATCTTTGAAAGTTGGTGGTTGGTATAGTGTAGTGGGTAACACTTCTGCCTTCTAGGCTGTAGAATGGGGTTCAATCCCCTGCCTGGGCAAGCGCCCTACACTATACCAATAAGAGTCCTTGGGCAAGACTCCTAACACTACCTTTGTCTACCAGTGTAAAATGACCACATTGTAAGTCGCTCTGGATAAGAGCGTCTGCTAAATGCTGTTAATGTAATATGAAAGGCTAATTTTGGACCACATGTTTGTGAGCTGGTTAACTTTCCTGTGGGGTATGTTTGTATAATGCTGCCCCAAGAACTCAAATTGGCTTGACTGTAAAATGAACATACTGCTACAGGCTTATAATAGTAATACTGATCCTACAAGTTTGGGGTGTGAGGTTTGAGGGGTGTCGTGAACTGACAACTGTGTCCCCCTCACTTTTAAAATGGCTGCTTTGCCAAAATCTGCAGAGGAGAGAGTGAGTGTCCTGGTGCTCTGGTAAAACTCGGCCTGCCTAGTCTTGCTTTGGCTCCGAAGAGAAATTCCAAATGCTGTGCTGAATTCTGCTGATCTTGTTTACTTTGCAGGTACTACTTCTCCAAAGACAGGGGCAGACTGCCAACCATCATCCCAAAACCAAACCCCAATGTCACAATAGGCCTCGCCACCCAAATGAGTCGCTATGACGTTCTGAGGGTTAAAAGGCTTTATATGTGTTGTGAGTATTCAATCCTTCTGTTCTAATGACAAATCAGAATGCTTTAGAATGTCCAGCAACACAATCATTTTACTGTCTTATTTCTTACAGAAGCCCATTACTGAAAAACGAAGAACGAAAAGGACTCAGTTTTGTACTTATAAGCAACATTCAGCATATCTTTATTTCTTTTATATAACTGTATTGCACGTAGTGTATATTTTGTTTTTCTTATGTATGATGTATCAATATCTGTAAAAAAAATGCTTGATTAAACATATATTTCCGTTAAAGTTCATCTCAGACTAAAGTGCTTTTGTCAGTGAATGATGGAAGATATTTTTGCAGGATTCCTGTTTTATATTGACGTTACCTTAAAGCGCCCATAATCTCCACTTATAGTCTTTGTGTGGCTTTATGTACCAAAAACAGCCACAATTCATTTTCGCTTGAATATTTTCCAGCCTCTGTTTGTATTTTCATTAAGAAGGCTGTGTCCTTATATGTAAATGACCTCTGTTCTTATTGGCTGCCCAGCACTGAGCCTCATTCAAAAAGCAGGCTGGGTGGAAATGTACCTCTGCTATAAGCTGCCTGCAGGAACAACACTACATCACTTCATCATGAATGTGAAGTCGTATGTAAATGTGTTCATGGTTTTGACATCAGGACATCATTGTGAATTCAAATCAGGCTATTTTTGCTGCCTAATGTCCAGATATGGACCCTGGACATTTTGAAACATTATCAGTGATGACATCCAACATCAAACTCTTGTTTCAAACAAGCAAAACAAACAAGGTTTTCTATTATATGGGCCCTTTAAAGGGACATATCGCTGGTGTCGGATCAAAACCTCGCAACTCCAAAATGAGAACTTTACAGGAGAAGGAGAAAACATACTCCACTTTTAATGTAAGTCAGTGGAACCAGACTTTTTTCCAAGTTGTTCTGGGTCATTTCTGGTGGTCCATTCATTATGAAATTTACACACAATATATAGGACCACGGGGACTTTCGATTTATGTCAAAAACTGAAAAACGACAAAAATGGAAATACAAAGTTTTGTTTCGACAGTAGGGATTTTTTTTTGAAAAGCATGTGTGGCCACTCAGTTATGTCATTGCCACTAATGGCAGATGGACAGTGAACTACACCTTTGACCTTATTTTTTACAAATTGATTGTACACTTTATTAAAGATGCCAGGAGGGCTCTGTGATGCCACAGGATAATCGGCTTTGGTTCTTTCAAGAAATTTTTAATGGATGCTTCCATTAAATACTCCAGTGGTTTTCAACCTAATCTCTATCTTTTCTCTTTTGTTAGTAAAAGAACGGAAATACTGTTGACTCAAATTCCTTGTGTATTGGCTTTTACTATAAATGTGTTCAAACAATTTATAGTAAAACAGACTAAAACAATATTGGGTACATTACAGGTGCTGTAAATGGAGTTTAGGTCGAGAAACAGTGGAGTTCTCCTTTAAGGAATCATCTATTAAAATGCTTTTTTAGGGAACTGATGGTGGTTCACTCCAAAGAAACACTTTTAGCACCTTTATTTTTAATTCCAAATGGATTTAAGGGATTTGAATAAACATCATCTGCTCTGCTTGGATCATTTGACAGGGCATTTTTAGAAATGTCATCAGATCTGGCAACAAAGTCTCCCTTAAAAATAAAGGTGCCAAAAGGGTTCTTTAGCGGGAGGACATACAAAAAGTACTACTGGTTCACCAAAAGACCATGGAAGGTTCTTTAAAGAACTCTGTAAATAAGGAGAACTTTCAAAAGTTGTGTGTAAGAGGCAAACCACGTGTGTCAGGCTCCAGTCCTCGCGGAACAAAACACTGCAGACTTCAACACACTGCCTCATTAAACACACCTGATTCAGCTCGTCAGCTAATTAGCAAGGCCTTCATCAAATGAATTCAGAGCATTAGATGAGGGTAAACGCTAATATACGCAGCACTTTGGCCTGGAAGGTCCCCAGTTTGACATGCCTGATGTAAACAAAGTCATTCAGAGTGATTTGATGTGAAATGCTAGTTCTAGAGGAAGCCAGAATTGTTTATAGGAATGAAGTAGTTATCTTTGTGCTGCCTGATGCCTGAGACCTTTTGTCTATGGTAGGTTTGAGATGAGTGTTTAGCCAAACAACAATTTTTTAAAATCCCATTCGTGGCAGAGGTATACATGCAGGGCGTTGTAACACAAAATAGTCCCAAAAGAAAACTTATTTTCTCAGACTTGCCTTAATTTTAACATTATCAACATTTTCAACATACATGAAAAGTCAGTGTTCCCAGGTGATTTTGGACAGTAAATAAAACGGCTTTGTGTTGTAGACATTGCGACCCCTGGTTCCCATCACCACCATCGTAAAGAAATTTGAGTCGATACTTTTCTTTAGAGTGAACCTTTTCACATCAAAAGACTCTCTATGACTATGATTTACCACTGAATTATGCAGATGGTTTGAAAAAATTGGCAGAATTCCTCAAAGTTTAATAGTAATATGAAGGTTTTGTACAAAGTAAAAATCTTCTAAGCCAAGAACCATTTAGGAACCATTCTTTTTAAGAGCGTCAGATTATTTGGAAACTTCTATTTTGGCAATTATCATCACTGTGTAAATTCTGCCCTAATACTCTATTGTTTATTTAACTTTAAATGTTTTCAGGCAAATAAAAAGTGATTCTGATTCAGATTAAGATATGATATATGATCGAGTTTCTTCGAAATTCTTTTTCAGGACTGATAGTAACATGACAAAATCTGGTGGTAGGAGTGAAATGAGCCTTTACACTAAGAGTGCATTTCAAACTCTACTTCCTGCCACTTCAACATGTTCCTGCCTGACTGCCCTATATTTACTTAATGAGGGCGCACCTTCGTATTAGTACACTGTAGACCCTCAGACGCATAAAATGTGTAAGCCTGCTGTTCTTTCTCTGAACTGAACTGCAGCCCAGATTTCATACCAGGAACAGACGATATTCAGAGGGCAGCATGTTTGTGTGGAATTTATTTGTTCTTTAAGTTCACATTACCTTTTCCTGGTTATGTTTTTAATAGTGCCTTCATGGTTTGGACAGTTTTATTCATCCTCTTGCCTGCATGAGCTCCATTTCACATGTTTAATAAGTTACGATGGTTGTGGTTTTCTCATCCAGACTATTGAGCTGACAATAATAGACACAAAGAACTGCAATTAACAATTTATCTTTTTTGATCAGGGTGTTAAAGGCGTAAAGTGGTGGATTAGCTATCTTACTTCATAGCTGTCCATACTCAGTCACTCCCAACTGGCGTCAGACACAGCTCAAGCTCAAATATACAAATTTTTATTTCTAACATTCTTGAACTGGGTGGAATGGGGAAGTAACGCTTCTTTAAATATATCTTAAAATGATACGTATAATTTATACGTACTCATTTTTTAACTTTGGCCTGATTTATAATACAACAATTAAAAAACAAATCTCATCAGAAAAACATTTTTGTAAACAGAATGGGTTCACAGTTTACATAATTAGGCATAGTCCACCCTTTGTTAGCATACCTGAGTAAAAGGCTTTAGAATAACAGTCCACAGAGGTCAAAAGGGGATTTCCCATAGAAGTACCAAAGTAATTTTGATGCCGAAGTGCCTTGTATTTGGCAAAGCAGTTGGGTAAATGAGCTTAATACACAGGGAATCTAAGAGAACTCAACACTGACAGCACACATATGTCCAGTTGGCTGAACATTAGAAGAGAGTAAAGAGAAAGGATCACATATTTTAGGGTGTACTGGCATTCATGAGCTCTTTCTCCACAACATCAGCAGTGAAGTTCTGGCTGCAGGCTCGAAGTGCCTTGATCAGTTCGTCCACCTTGGCCTGCCCTTTGCGCATCTTCTTCCACTCCTTGATGACCTCTCTCACTTTCTCCTCCAGGTTGCGAGGGTGTTTCTCTTCTATGCCGTCGAGCTTGGCATCACCAAGGAGCAGTTTGCGTCCAAATTCTTTCCACTTCTTTCCCAGATTGTCAACTATGACATTTGTTGCAATGCTGATTTTTCCTGTAACAGAGATACAGAACTTATGTAAAGTACATATTCTGCATAAATCTTCTGTTCGTGGAGAATTTTTAGTAGGCTATTCTTTTTACTTTTCATACTTATATCAAAATAAACAGAAAATGATGGATTATTATTAATGCTTCCTTAGTTTTCTTAATAAAAAGGCTTCTACATAAATGCAACATAAGCATGCTCATCATTTAGGAGCGTATCTATGATTAAGTTTATTAGATCAGGGGTGCACAACTCTGGTCCTGGAGGGCCGGAATCCAGTGCAATTTACCTGCTCAAACACACCTGATTCTAACATCTAATTGCGAGGTTTAGTGGCTGTGTTTGAACAGGAAAACTACCAAACTGTGCTGGACACTGGCCCTCCAGGACCGGAGTTGTGCACCCCTGATTTAGATTATCAGAGCACTTAGTAAACTTATCAAGCTGACTAGTTGTTGTCCAGTTGTTGAGAGTTGTGGGCCTGTCTGTTCACTACAGGCACTGACACTAACACTATGAAGGCTAGACTTGAGATGAAAGACGTCTGTGATTACAAAGTAACCAGTGCAGGTGGTTTACTCGGTACCACATAGTTAGATGGACAGTCCAGCTAAAATGAAAAAAATGTACCATTGCTACATCTGTTTTAAACACACCTAATAGCATCAGTGGCTACAGTGGTGCTTCAACAGTCTCTACAGTGAATTTTTCCATTGTAAAGACCAGGACCCCGCAACCTTCTGGTGATGTATATTGAAGGTGGAAGGAACTTCTTAAAAAACTACACTCTTAAAAAAGATGGTTCTTCAGGGGTTCTTTGGTAAAGAAAATGGTTCTATAAAGAACCATGAACACTCAAAGAACCCATTGCATGATTAAAGCGTTCTTGCACCATGAAAGGGTGATGGAGAATGTTCTGTAGATGGTTCTAAACAGAACCTTTTTGAAAACGGTTCTTCTATTGTTGCAAACTTGACACTGTAATAATAGAAAAACGCTTTCTGTCATTCACTTTTGGTCATTTATTTCCCATTTTGTTTTAGTGTTTCTCACATCTCTCACTTCTGACTCACTTTTTTTTTTTAATTGTAGAGCAAAAGGATCCCAAACAGAGAACAACAGCACCTCTACCAAGTCTTTGAGGAGGTTTTTTGGGGGGGCCCAGCTTGTCAGAATAGGAGTGTTAATGCTGGATTATTTTATGCCCTCTATACAGCACTGAATAGGAAACATGGACTGATACATGCTTATAAAACTTATAAGAGCAGGAGTCCAGACCTGTACCTATAAGTAAGGTCATCATAAATAAGAGAGGAACCTGATATCTACGGAGCCCCGCTGGTGACGGGATGGTGGGAACGAGAACACAGCTTACTAAGTCGTGGCCATGCATTAGGATCTCGTCCCCACGCTTTACTAAGTCGTGACCACGACTTAAAGAGTGGGAACGAGATCCTAATGCGTGGCCACGACTTGGTAAGCCGTGATCTCATTTTCACGCCTTACTAAGTCATGGCCACGACTTAATCATCTCATTCCCATGCCTCACTAAGTCGAGGCCACGCATTAGGATCTCGTTCCCACGCGTTAATAAGGCGTGGCCACGCATTATTTTTATTTATACAGGATGTCACCGTCAGGGCTCCGTACAGGTCAGCATTTCTATTCTGTAAAGTTTCATACGGGCTCTGATCTCAGACCAGTGCTTCTTCTCTAAGGCGCTCACCTCCTACACTTTCAAAAGCAAGGTTTTTTTCGTACCTCCTGTTTCTTCTACTCGACTTTATTTCACAGGCGTAGTTCTATGCTACTCCAGACACCGCTGGTAAACAGCTGGCAAACGATCAGGCTAAAAGCTGATTCTCAGCTGAATTTCCTACAAAGCGGTGGAGGCGTTGCCTTCTTATTCACCAGCTCATTTTAAGTTCCACCTTAAATGGCGCAGCAGTTCATTGTGACGCCCGTGAAATTTCCTGCAGACGCCAGAACGTAACCGAGGCAGTATTTAAGGTGGAACGGCCAACTTTAGCTTCAAATACAAACCTAGCTCTGCTTCATCTGGCGACTCGGCGGGGTCCGCTTGTCCTTCGTAGGTGTCGATGATTCCCAGCAGATCTTGCCGGCCTATTTTGTCGAGGAGCTCCCGCAGATGTTCAGTGTTGTCGGGCCCGATTATTTCCCTCTGAATCAAATAATCGAAAAGCTGGATTCCGTTTTCAATCTCCTCAGTTTTTTTCTTCCCAATTTTGTCCGCACACAGAAACTTAAGGCTCACCACGTTGTCGCTGCTGAGTTTGTTGGATATGTCCAACAACATGAATTTAAATCTCTCCATGCTGTCTGAGGGGATCAACGTTAACGTTAGGTTAGTTAGTTTACACTGTAGACTGGCTGACTGACTGGCTGGCTGGCTGACCGGTCTACAGCGGGATTTCCAACATTTCTGTTGCAGATGTTTCAATTTCGTTTTCGTTTCCAACTCCAGTGACCTCCCAATGTTCACTCCATGAGGTGAGTCCGCTCCGTTTATCTCTGAAAAAGGGGAAATACCGGTTTCTTAAAGTCTAAAAACACGAAGCCCTCAAAATATCTTCTGTCCTGTCAAACTGATCTCGGAGAGCAACGGTGCCTTTTGAACTTCCTGTTCAAAACTGTCTCTCCTGATTGGCTCCTTCCCTTAAAGGGACAGTAACGTACTTAACTGAAAGGACAGAACAGACTTAATGTGCTGCCAACCTCGTAGTTTATTATTAGCAGTGGTGGACGAAGTACACAAACCATGTACTTGAGTTAAAGCAGAGATACCCAAGGTAAAGTGTTACTCCAGTAAAAGTAGAAGTCCTCCCTTTAGTAAAAATACCAAAGTATTTGCCTTCAAATGTACTTAAGTATCGAAAGTAAAAGTATTAAAGATTAATTATGGCTCTGATGTCCTTTTACCGTTTTTGTAAGAAGACTGTTGATTCATTAACTCATTTTAGGTGAAAATACTCCAGTGTCACTCTTGGTAAACTAGTCTTTTAATAGAATGTCACTGATTAGTCTGACGCTGATGTCTATTAAAATTATCATAAGCACAAAACACTGAAGGCAAACAATTTCCATCAGGTAGATGGAAGAGCTGAGTGGCTCTGAAATAACCTTTTACAAACAAGCAAAGTTTCAGTTTAAGATTTATTTGCAACTTAGTTACAAGTTTAAATTTAATAAAAACTTGCTTTAAACTCAGATTCACAAATGAGTTTTCCTTTACTAAACTGCATCTGCAGTTCTCTGTTCATAAACATAAGCTAGCAAAAACAAATTTACTATAAAATGAAATAGTGTTTGTGTAAATTCAGAATAAAGAAACATGCCAGTCACAGCTGCATATGTGTACATATTTCTATATTGTGGTCTTTTTACACAAAGTTAGGTTAGAGTCAGGAGTTTCTTCCATCATTTATGTTGAATAGACTCTCCCAAACTTTTACGCTGCTGTACTGATGGTGAACTGTATGCTTGCACTGGGTTGGTATGTCCAACAGGTCAAAACAAGCTCAAAACTAAGTGCGCGCTGTGCCCTGATTGGTGTTCTTGATTCATGCTTCTTTTGTTTTGACATGTTATGTTTTTATGCACACATAAACCAAAAGGAACAACAGATTTAACATGATGTAGCGGAGTAATAAATAAGATATTAGTCTTTGAAATGTAGTGGAGTGAAAGTGAAAAGTCACCCAAAATGGAAATACTTCAGTAAAGTAAAGATACACTAAAAAAAAAGACTTAAGTACAGTAACGAATTACATTTACTTCGTTACTGTCCACCACTGATTATTAGCGATTCAAGCACGAACCGTATCGTCATTGTTAGTTTTCTTATTCTTCTTTCTCCGTCAAAACGAACCGTGCAGCCAAAACCGTAAGTGGTACAGACATGACACTGGGTCGGTAGGTAGCTAGTAGTCCTAGAGAACCTGTAATGTCTCCCGGATTTCTCTAACACTAGAGGGCACTCCCGAGCTCCAAAATGAATGGGTTAAGATGGAGAATTTGAGCAAAATCATATTTTATAAATGCTTAAACATTTTTAATATAATACAATACATTCATTTCCTGAACACGGAACAGCTTAAAACATTTTAACACAGCTGTTATATTTTTAAGAGATTTTAAACTGGAGTTCATGACATCAGTGAGCATGAACAGCCAATGAGCTGCTCCGCTCGCCAGCCAATCAGCACTCAGTAGCAGTACTGCAAATCCATCAATGTGTGAATCACTTCTAATCTTTATACACAGAAGGACGGAGCTGAAGGTGGCTTCCTATTCGCCAGCTTCTTGTTCGAATTTTCCATTCCACCTTAAATGGAAGCTGAAGCTGCACCATTTAAGGTGGAACGGGAAAAAAATAAATACTACATACAACGTTAAGATCCCCTGAATAGACTATTAAATTAAATAAGCTCAATATAAAACCAGACGATAAACAATCACATCAACAGGTTCTTTGTGCCTCACCAACTACACGGCCATATCTACACATCAACATCACTTATGCACCATTTAAGGTGGAACGGGAAAATTCCATTATGAATATCTACACGGAAAGAATGCTATAACTCACCTAGCTACAAGGCATTAACCATCACTGTAAATAAATAACTACTACATAAAGATAAGATCCCCTGAACAGACTTTTAAATCAAAAAAGTTTAATATAAAACCAGACGATAAACAGTCACATCAACAGGTTCTTTGTGTGTCACCAACCACACGGCCATATCTACACATAAACACCACACAAACATGAGCGCGGATCGCTGCGTTCCCTCCATTATATAATCCCATCCCGCTTTCTGAGTGCAATATTCTTGAACTAGTATAATTGTGGACAGTATCTTTCTTAAACTGCTGCTCTGTAATGTTACTGAATGCAGTCCAGCAGCGATGTGGACCGCCCTAAAATGGCGGCGCCGTTGATGTGCCTGTCTGGACCCAACACGGCATCTAGGTATGTATATCTATGTATCTTCTGCACCGTATGGCATAGAAACAAAATTCTTCTTTCTTCTGATTAGTTGTCTCATTGCCCACAAAAAGCCAACACAACCATATAGCTCTGCCCTGATACATTTTGAGATAATTTGCATTTTGTCCCACATCCACACATTTCGGAGCACAACCTAGTCCCTGGTTTGTCACCCAGGCTGCACTCATCTGATCTTAAGAATCCTAAGAAACCTTAACTTTAATAATTATAAAAAATGTTTGAATTTCAGCACCGTGTCGTGTCCAGGCCCCCGAACCAGAAATAGGGGTGGAGGTTATAATAAAAAAAATCATGCATATACAGCTCTACCTCAGAAATGACAGCTTTGACTAGTTGTTCTGGAACTTCACAGGCATGTACCCTAGGGGAGCATAGCTAGGTGGCGCTATAACAAGCAAAAAAGTGAGCGACATGAAAATTTGCATGGTGCTGAGGTCATATTTGAAAAAAACATGGCTGCTATCAGCCAATCAGATTTCAGCAGGTATTTCACAGCCTTAGAGCTGACCAATCACCATGAAACTTAATATGTATCACCAGGTATGGACTCTCTACCAGAGAGTAGAGAGGAGAATTACCACTCTGTAATGTCTTCCAGCTTTCTCAAATGCTAGAGGGCGCTCCCGAGCAAGTCCAAAATGAAAGAGTTAAGATGAAGCATTTTACCCCATCAAATTGACTCATGAGTAAAATTGAACACATTAAAAAATGACCATTCCCAATAAATAGACCAAAACAACAGCACATTTTGGTTTAACGTTTGCCATAAGAAATATCAAAGATGAAGTCCTTTCACTGCAGCATTTTAAAGTATTTGGCAGACAAAGTTACTAAATCGGTTTATTTGTACCACATCTGATTGACTCATGAGCCAAACTGAACACTTTATTAATAATGACCAATAAGCCCAACAAATAAGCAGTAATAAGTGTCATAGCCAAAATAGTAATGTTGGGCTAACTTGCGAAAGGCAGCTTGGACCCCGCAGATGGACGCTTGCAGCTATATTTATTATTATTATTATTATTATTATTAGTAGTAGTAGTAGTCGTAGTATCACTTTTTTGTTTTTCATCCATTGCCAGCTCTTGACCCTTTTCTATGCAGTGAAGCCTGAAGTTGCTAAAGCCAAGAACAACGGTTTAAAACATCACATGACACAAACCCTTATCTTTAAAAAGAAAAGTAAAAAAGCAACATTTATTTATATATTTATTTTTATTAAAGGCACAATAGAAGCTTATTTGCTTGTTCACTTTTCTTTTGTTAATTACATGACTGAGACTTTTACTATGAAGTTACAGTTTTTTCTCAATTGCTTAGATGCATTTCTTTTGGAACATTAGCCTCATTCTCAAAACTATAAGGGTCAATTTCACAAACAGGGTTCAAACAATGGTTCAGTGAAAGAAATTTAGCTTCTAGTTTTGCATTAGATCTACAGAGCTAACGTTACGAACAAACAGACAATAAACACCCAAATCTTTTTAGTAAATACATGCCCAAAATGTCTCTCGTGTGTGTGCACTGCCGCGAGTCGCCCTGTAAAGCCTAATATAAAAATGTCAGAGGCATTGGGACGGATTTTGGACCACGTTGCGCGTCTCTTTACATTTTAGCGTCACACACAGGCTCAAAACGATGGTCCAGCTCGATGTTTAGGTCTATAGTGATAAAGATACGATGACAATAGTAAAAATTCACTCACATCCTCAAGAGACACATTATCTTTAAATAGTCTTTCAATGATTAACTCGCAATCATCAGACTCATCGCCTTGGGGAAGGGGTCCGAAGCACAACTGACGTTACAAAATGTTCTTTCACGTTATGTGCAATTACACATTTCCACCAGAGAGGTCTCCAAATCCCTCAAACCTGCATAGTGTAGCTTTAATACATGATTAACTATAACACAAATGCTCAAATACTTTTTGGGACTCCTGTTTATTCCTGAATAAAACATAAAAAATAAAGAGTACAGTAACAATATAAGAAAAGCAGTACTGCACAAATTAAAATAAGAAGGGATATGTTTCTGAGTAAAGAAACTTTCCTGGGGTCTAGTTGTTCTAACCATCATTTGGCTGAAATGTAAGAAAGCAGCTGAATCAGATGGTCAGGGTGCAACAAGTCAGCAATGACCTCTGCCCGTTCCTAGTTCTGGAGTATACAGATCAGTCAGGGAGTGGATTGACACCTATTGTCTTCTGTACATCTAAGCAACTGGAGAAAAAACGATAAAGAAAAATGAGGCATATAAAGTTAAGATTTTGACAAAACTTTCAAATAAAATTATGGCCGGCCCAACAGCATTTAACATGCTTTGAATAAAAACAATAAGCACATCAGAGACCAGCATTTCAGGTTTTTTATTTTCTTTATGAATACAGGAATAGAATTTTACTACAGTGGAACGCTAGCAATGAAAATGAACCACTAGGATGAGATGATCAAGCAAAACACAGTAGCATACAAAACTGGTTAATCCCAAGTTGGGGACTTCTTAAGTTGGCAGAATGGAAAAGGTCTGAAAGATGCTGCATCCAGAACTGCATCCTACCATCTAAACAGTATTTCAGAACAGTACACCACCATTAGCAGTACATTCATT